ATAGAGACTGTTACAACCTGTTTTGTGATTTTTTTTTTTCCCCTTTCATGTCGTTATGATTAACAGCATGAAAAAGCAAGATATGTTTTTATTATCTGATCAGTCTGACATCTGTGGACTGCGGGTGGACATTAGACTGTTGTTACACGTGTCTGCGTGTGCGTGTGTGTGCGTGCATGTGTTGGACTTTGCTCAGCCTGATCAGCTGAGTGTTGTGTGTTCTATCAGCACAGGAGTCTAACCCTTACCCTTCCTTAAGCAAGATTTAGCATCATGAACACCAAACCTAATAAAACATGAGCACAGAATGTCCTGACTCCTGATGCTCAATAATCCAGGAAGAAAGATCTAACAAGGTCAAGTCAGGTCCACTGGACGGATTCTTCTTTACTGAAAAGTTTTGTCTTTAATCCAAACGACTTCTTCAGTCTGAGGAGCTGCAACATATTCAGTTCTATAAATAGCACCTTCTCATAGTTAGGTCACTAAAGATCAATTGTTAGGCTGATGGTTCTCCTTTTGCAGCTGGTTTTGGATGTCACCAGCAAATTGGTTGAGCCACTATGAGAAGCTGCCGCTTATAAGACTCAGTTTGTTGCAGCTCCTCAGACTGAAGAAGTCTTTTGGATAAAAGATGAAACATTTCAACAAGATGAACCCGTCCAGAGGACCTGACTCAACCTTGTTAGGTGCAGCACAAAGCTTTTAAATGTTGCTTGTTTTATGTTTAAACACACGTCTTTTCTTCATATTCCACTTTTTTAGGACTTCAAGGAGCAGATCGTTCACCATGTAGCGACTATTCTCCTCATCAGCTTCTCCTGGTGTGTTAACTACATCCGTGCTGGAACTCTCATCATGCTGGTGCACGACTCTTCTGATTACTTCCTCGAGGTAAAAGACCTCTTTGAAGCTGTTTACATATATAGTGGTTCAGCGGTCTATCAAGTGACCTAAAATGTTTTGTTCTTCACAACACGATCAATATCTGTCAATCTGTGGTCTGAAATGACACACAGTCAACTATGTCAGGAAATGTATCCGGACGTCTCACCATTTGTCTCGATGGTATTTTTTTGAACCACATTAATAAAACACTGCCATCTTGTGGTGAACAAATGCACTGAGCCTGTCAGAGCAAATAATTTTATAATTTGGTAATGATTTCATCAAGCGTAAATAACTTTTTCTGGTTGTAAACTCTTTCTTTCACTGACAGTCTGCTAAGATGTTCAACTATGCTGGGTGGCGAAACGCCTGCAACTACATCTTCATCGTGTTTGCTGCAGTTTTTATCATAACCCGCCTCGTTATCTTCCCCTTCTGGTAACGACACACTCACCACACATGCCTGTTTTAAAAAAAAAACAAATAAAAAATTAATGAGAAACTTACAAACCTCTCATAAATAATGTAAAGAGAGAAATTGTATTTTCAAAGCACATCTCTGAGTTGACCCATAGGTTTTTCAATAACCACAAACAGAAATACACTAGACAGGAGGAACGTAGGAGTACCCATGTAAGAAAAACAGGATGTAACATATTGATTCTTTCATTTAAAAGAAACAAAACCAATTCATGAAAAAGAGGGAAAAAAAACATTGAATGAAAAGGGTACAGAAAGAAGAAAAATATATTATAATATCTGCCCCTTATTTAAAAAAATATATAAAATACACAAACAACTCAGGCTTGAACAATCCCCAAGGTGAAAACAAAAAACATCAGACATTCTTCACATGGTATCATGCGTTCCTAACAACTTTAACTTAATCATCTTTTTAAACATATAAATTGTTTTAGAAATTTTTATGGTGATATCGAGGCAATTCCATAATCCTATTCCCTGAATTACAACGCAGCTCCTTCAGACTAGTTCTAACTGGAGGTTTTACAAACATTTACATTCCCTTAAGGTTATAATGACTTTCTTTTTTAACAAATTTTTTATAATGACTTTCTTTTTTTAACAAATTTTAACTGAATATTTGGGGGTAACATTTTTTATGAGCTTTATACATAACTTGTAAAATACTATATTCAACCAAATCAAAAAATTTTAATAATTTCAATTAATGAAATAATATATTTGTTGGGTGACCATAGCACTTCCTACTAATAATTCTTATAGCTCTTTTTTGTAAAATAAAAAATAGCATTTATAATTGTTTTGCATGCTTTTCCCCAAACTTCAATACAATAGATTAAATATGGAACAATCATTACATTATACAATATATACAAAGCTTTGTCATTTAAAAAACATTTTACTTTATATAGTATTGCAGTTGATTTTGCTTTTTTTTATTCTTAAGTAATTTACATGAGATTTCCACGTCAGCTTCTCATCAATAACGACACCCAAAAATTTTATTTCATTAACTATGAATTTCAATATTAGCAATTTTAAATGGGACTTCAATAATTTTATTTCTATTATTAAATATCATGTAATTTGCTTTTTTTCCTAATTGAATGATAACTTATTAAGTTGGAACCAAGTTTGTATTTTTACAAATTCTGCTTGTATCACCTCTAACATCTGTTCAATATCTTCACCTGAACAAAAAAAAAAAAAGTGGTATCATCTGCAAATAAAATTACTGGCACATTCCACTAAATGTTTTTTAATTTGTGCCACCACGTTACCCCCTCTTGAATCGTCACTACGTCTCTTTCAGGATTATTTATTGTACGTGGGTGTACCCAGTGACCATCTACAAACCTTTCTTTGGCTACTACTTTTTCAACGGACTGCTGATGATTCTGCAGTGTCTCCACATCTTCTGGGCTGTTCTCATAATCCGCATTGCAATCCGCTTCCTCACCAGCAATGTAAGTGAACACGAAACTGTTCCAATGCCAAACATCCTGCTTTACTCACCATAAGGTGATTTTCCTCTGATTGCTGGACACGTGTTTACTGTTAAGAACAATTAGTAGAGATATTTAAAAAAAAATTACTATAAATAGAAAGAAGCTGTAGTCGAAATACCGAGGGACATTTATGTTGTGAGCCAGTTAAATTGTAAACATATATGACAGCTGGAGTAAATTATGACCCTATTTTAGATACCACCTTCTACATATTGTTGAAGCACAAAGTATGCAGACTAAATACTGTTGTTTTTACTTTAGTTTGCAGTATAAATCAGTTTGGTCTGTCAGTCAAACTGTTAATTTATGGGACTGTTGCATCTTAGTGTCTGATAGTTTTTATTTTTTTATTTATTTTATTTATTCATTTTATAAATACATAACAATCAACATAATCAACATATATGTAACAACAACAAAATATTAAATATAAAATGAAAGGTAGCAGATGAAGAAAAAAATCTTATTAAATCTGCTCCTTATTTATCTAATAAGCCATTCAAACAAACGTTTCCTGTAAACAGCGAATACAAGTAAGTAAATCAAAATATTTTACAATTCTCATACAATACTCATCAAAATACAATCATTGATATTCATTTAACAATTTGATTTTAATCAGTTTCTTAAATACATAAATTGATATAGCATCCTTAACCTCTTTTACTAAGTCATTCCATAAACCAACTCCCTGAATTACGGTAGATCTTCCCTTCAAACTTGTTCTAAACTAGTTAGTTCAGGTGGATTGAGAAGCCACAGAAAAATGATGCTTCTTTAAACACTGATGCTGTCGCCACGCCTCTGTTTCTACACAGATGAAGAACTATTTGAATTTGCACGTCGTCTCAGTGCTGCTCCGGCTCCTTTCAGTCTACGAATGAGCAAAAAGAAACCACAGCAGCAAACAACTGGCACGTTTTATTGCTAGGACACAGAGACAAACTTTTTTTTGTGAGAGCTTTTTGTTTTTGTTGTTTCTATATTTTTTTTGGCACTGACACATGATTATTTTTGTCTGTCGTTTCTATTGTTATTGTAACATTTGTAGAGCAAAAGTAGAGGTCGACAAATTAGGGATGTTCAGTGATCAATGCTGATGCCAAGCTTTAGAAATCAGTGCAGAGAATGGCCAGTCGTGCTGATTTCTTTGTTTTGTTTTGGTACAGTACATTACATCATACAAATGAGAAAAAAAAGGATTTACTGGTAAGATACTCGGGCCATTTCTACTCATTAGAAGGAGTAGCGTAGAGTTCAGACCCAGTTGATTAACAGCACTAGTTGTGATTAAATAACAACAATTCTGCCTTAAAAACTACACAGGCCACCAATGATGTCATAAATGATATAACTTTGATTAGAATTTAAAGACTGTAACCAGTATTGTATGAACTTAAAATATTTTGGTCAAGCTTCTTTAGAGGTAGGTCAGTGTTGTACCAAAAAAAACCTGTGTTAAATGTAACCCTTATCGCAAGGCATAGGGTCAAGACCAGTAGAGGTCACAGCTCACCAAAGAGTTAGTAAGATTGTAATGTCACAACGATGTAAGTGAACACAACTCAAAACGGTTCATAGATCACAAGAAAAGTGTCCATGTTTTGTTCAGAGGTGAGCTTTCAAAAATGTATTCGGTCCATCAGAACCAAAGAGGCGGAGCAGATCTCTGCTGTGCTAAAGCAGAATGATGCATTCAGTGTGTGTCGGACGTCTCCCTCGTGTCATTTATTGTAATGAATTAACTCACTTTAGTGATCGTCTTTGTGGTTAACTATTTTTATAAACTAACTACAAAGTTGTTGTGCATTATTGTCAATATTCTCTCAGTAATAAATCTGTTTGTATTAAAGTAAAGATGTGTGAAGAAATGTGTGAGAGAGTCACGTCCCAGAGACAGTGTGAGCGTCACAATAAAAGCTGGATAGGAATTATGTATTCAATGTTTGACTGTTTACAATGTTTCTGAGTGTGAAAATGGTTTTTCACGTTATTTTCCTGTTCCGGTTTGGGTTGACATTTATGTTAAAGTCTCTGTTATTGGATGTAAACTGACACCATGAGTCACAGGTTGTTTGTGGTAGATATGAGCAGGGGGAAATCACTGCAAGGGTGGTGATGTCGCCAGGTGGTGCTTAGCTCTCATAACGTAGAATAGCATCGCTCTGTGAATCACCATTCCCCTGTACGCTTTCAGTGCAGAGAACTGTCTTAAAAAATAATTAGCAGACTTGAATTTACTGGATTTCATTTAGTGGAAGCTAATTCCCCTAAAGATTTTCAAAGTTAGTGAAAACGCTAATCTGCTAAATGGAAAGTTAGTTTTGCTATTAGTGGATTAACGGAACCACGCCCACCACTGGTCTAGACTAACAACACTTTGCTGCCCACAGATATGCTTGTTTTTAATCAATATTGGTAATTATTTTAAAAAAAAAAGGCAAACTTCTTTCAATTCATTTGAAGCTTTACTGATGTGTAAGTTTAGTATTATCACTAAAACAGCAAATAGAGTACGTATATTTGTATTTTTGTGGGTTAGTAAATGCAGCACTGTATGAACATCTGCTCAACACAAGTTACTAACTGCCTGCTGTTTGATACTGACTGGATAAAATGTAAGAAGTTGTTTAAGAGAGGTGACAGTGGACACAGTGTAATAAGCTAAGGTGCTTATGAACTGAAGGAAGTGTAAACGTAGTCGTCTGTGTATTTGTCCTGTCAAACTTCCCTCACTTATTTACTGAAAGAAATATTAATAGCTGCTTTAGATAAATCTGGACCGTCTAAGTTTGTTCAGACTAACCAGAAACCCACAGTAGTCTCCAAAACATGCTCCTAAAAATAGGCCCAGTTATAATTAATTAATTTATTTGACTGTTTTGTTTTTCCAGGAAAAAGTGGATGACGACAGGAGCGACAAAGATGAAACAGACGAATCAGACGAGGAGGAAATGGAAGCAGAGGATAAAAACCACGTGAAGACAAATGGACCTGTGCAAAATGGTCACACAGTCCACAACAACAACCACAGCAAGACAGAGTGACCCCGTGTGAAGATGAATAAAGAAGTAACATAGCGAAGGACTCAAATCCCTCAGAGGGGGAGATGTAAGGGAGCGATGAGGAAAGACAAAAAGAAGGGATGTGGATGGGAGGAAGAGGGCAAGTATTCCCTAAAACTAGGAACAGCTGATGTTAATAGGAAAATCGACTCTGTTACTCGTACATGAACACACGTTTTTAGTCGTACCTTTAGAGGACCCAGCAGGTGACAGACACTACGCTAAATGGCACGGCTTTTTGCTTTGAGGAAACGTATCACTGCCATCGTTAGTCCTAAAACTTTCTATGAGACGGGGGAGAACATGAAGAGGAGCAAAGTGTAGAGGAAAGTGATGCTGCTTCTACTTTAGCTTTCACATTTTAACTGTGTGCCTTAGAGCTTTCTTAAAGCTTTCCATTGTCAAAACTGTGCTGTTTTATTCTGTTTTTATTTCACTTTAATGTAGGTGATACAACGCAACAGGGCGTTGATTTCCGTTTTTCTCCAGCTATGCAACTATGCATCTGTTCAGCTATTGCAACATCTTTGCACAAACTATGTGAAGTAATATTTTGCAGTAGGCCCGTGTGCCTCTTCTCCCCCAGTGCAGCTCGTTCTATTTATAAAGGGTTCAAGTTTCGGTCTTAATCCAGCTGGTGTTATTTTGTTGGAATTTCTGCTTCCAGGTGAGGACTCTCATCTTTTAGAGGTGTCGTTTTTCAATCATGCGCTTGTCAAAGCTGAGAGCAGCGGACAGAAACGAGTGCTCGGCACAGTTTGTGACTGAGAAATCACAGTTTCTGGATCTGTTTCGAGCTCCAACTCCACGTTGATGATGCCACCTACAGGAAAGTGATAACTCAGTGTAATCATTGTGAAAATGAGGCCTGTGGAAATATAGGAAGTTTTCTAAGATAAATGGAATGGACCAGATTTCTTCAGTTCACTGCCTAAAAGCCGAGGTTATGTTCTTTAACTTGGCTGACAATTTCAATCTTGATCTAAATTTACTCTGTTAGGTGATTCAGTGTTTAAAGTTAGTTTTTGTCTTTTTGAGGAAATTTGTTTTAGTTTGAGTGAAGTCATGAAGGAAGTGTTTTATCTTTGTTGCCATGCTTTAATGTACATTTCTATGTCAAGTGCCTTACTCTTGATGAAAGGTGAGCTCTCCTGTCTTCATGTCCTCTCCTCTTTTTTTTCCAGTTTCCGCCTCAGCCCTGTAGATCCAAGCAAGCCTTCCTCCCACTGTTTGACGCCACACATCCCTTCTTTAAAAATGAGCTTCTTTTCACTCTCATTCCATTACCACAACATTTTTTTTTTAATCCCGACCAACCAGTGACTTTTCTTCTCCAGCAATACAGAAGAAACAGCTGTGGCCTATTTACAGTGTTATATTTTTATTTTGTTTTATTTAATGATGCCCAAGTATTGATATTGATGATAAAACATAATGATTCACAATAAAAAAAACACTTTCAAGTTGTATATTTATTTTTTTGGAGGGGGTCGATGTGGTGTCTCTAAAGATGTAGATGTTCATAAATCAAGTTCAAGTATCTTTATTGTCATTTGCATCATATATGGTTCATTCATTCAACATTTATTTATGCAGGTTAATCCCACTGAGCCGCGGGGACTCATTTACAAGAGACACCTGATTTTAACAAAGAGTGATGACAACAGAAGACAATAATAAAAAGCTTACAAATTGAAAAGAGCAAATAAATGAAAATGGCCTTAAAAAAACGAAACAAAAACAGCTAGGTTGTAAAGCAATATGACATGAGATGGAACAAAGTTGTGTACCCAAGGTTCCTGTTACACACGTTGATTATTTGTTCAATAACTAAATGAAACTGCAAACTTAGCTTGTGAAATGCAAAATATACTCTTACAACTTTAAAAATAAGTATCATGTAGGTGTGGTTAATCAAATGCAACTGATGAACTGAAGAAGCGGGTAAAAGATAATGGATGAACTGGTGGTCAGCAGGTGTAAACCTCTTTGTTTTGGTATGAGGATGTAAAGTAACAGCAATGCTCAGCTTGTGAGTCCCATCATTCTACTGTGCAGGAAGATGGGAGGAAAAATGTTAGGACAAAATTACAAAAATAAATACAAATCATGCCAGAAATGGACATCTGAATAAGGTCACCGAACATTAAAACTGTCTAATACAAATAATAATAAGACAAAAACCAAGGAGGTTCAACTAGGTCCAGTCATAAACATTAATAAAAAAACAAGACCATGAAAAACTGTCCAAAGTGAAAATATTCAACTGCAAAATTTAGTCTACCCAAACATATCAGCACAATTATTTCAAAACGTGCAAAAAATGAAATGATGATGATGATTTTTATTATTATATCCTGATGCATGAAAAGATTAAAAGAGTGTACTTTTTCTACATCACAGTTTTATACTTTTGATTAAAACTTATCTAATATTTTCACAGTTATTTGTGGGGACTTTTGTAAATTAAAAAGACGATTTCAATCTAATTTAGTCCGATATTAAAGCCTGCAAAGAATTAATGTACTATATAGCATGATTTTCTGTGGTAATTGTATTTTAAAAGAATTTAAATGTCGGTTTGGAAAATGTCTTGAAAGAAGTGTGGTTTGATTATATGTTACAATTGCCTTCCTTACAAGTGCCGAGGAAGAAAATAAGGGCTTCCTGACCAGTGACGTCACCAGTATCTGTCCAGTAGGAGACGGAGAAAGGAAAGCAGCTCGAGCGTTTTAGCTCAAAACGCCATCTTACTTAGGCTGGGGGTTTTAAATAGGGAAACAAGCAGTGACAGAGCTCGAAGGTTTGATTTGGCTGAAGATAAATTTCTGCCGTGACTCTGGAGTCAGAATAATGGCTTTTTGGTGTTTTTAAACGAAAAAAGTGAAAGCGCGTCAGGAAAATCGACACCGGTTGGCCTGAAGCTAGCTAGCCAGAGGGTGGGTGGAGGGTGAGAATATTTTTTTTTTCCGCTGGAAGAAGTTATTTGTTTATGTTATTCAACATGGACATGTCCTCTTCAAATCCAGGTAAGAAATAAAAAAGTCACAGTAACAATCTACTAACGTTATAACGCTGCTTTTAATCACTCGTGTGTTTTTTCTCTCGAGCCTTTAGTAGACACTTTTCCAAAGATAGCGTGACAGCATCGGCTAAGTTAGCTTAGCGTTAAAGCTAATGCTGCAACAACCCGAGACAAGTGAAGGTTGCTAACTAGCTCTTATAGCTATGTAAGAAGCGGTTAAAACAGTCCTCTGATGGTGATGTGTGTAAAGGCAGCAAAGGAAAGATGAGAAAACCAAAGTAAGTTTGCTGACTGTCAAGCAGAGGTGGATGAACGCGGTCCAGATGTTTGTTTTCAAGTGTTTGTAGCTGAAGCTAGCCCTGCAGTGTTGTCCGCAAACTTTGTGATTAGATTCCCAATCAACGATGTGGCGCTTATTTAATGTTTCAGGCACAGACCGTAAGGAAATTGTGCACTTTTGACGTAACTTGTTTTTAAGTACAAGGTCCGCTCGGCGGTTTAGTTTCTTTTTCAGTGCCGTTTGAGCTGAAAAAAAAAAAAGAAGGAAATCACCTGTCATCTGCTAAATTGGCTATTTCCGTTGCTGTGTTATTAATAGAGTTAGCAGACCCTAATCTGGGTATGGGCGCAAGTGGAGCCCAAACAAGTGGCGTGGCTGTGGCACCGAAGGGGACCAACAAAAGACGAGCTGTGTAAGAGTGTTACTACATTTGAGCTGCCATGTCAGTGCTACCCATGTAAATATGCTGACAGGCTTTTGTTTTTTAAGATGTGTACTTGGCTTATTGCGTTTTACATTACAGGGCAGACACTGATGAAGAAGAAGGAAACAAAATGATGAGGTATTTTTGTTTATTTTTTTATTATTATTTTTTTTTTTTTTTCTTCCCACACTTGCACTTTGGTCTAGAATCAAGCGACTGGTACAGCTTCCTGTACTCACTCACTGAATAAACAAACCCATTTCCTTTGGGAAGTCTGATATTGTGCTTGTTGTCAGCGGAGAAAATATGCTGTAAAGAACACAATGTTTTGTTTGCAAGCAGAGTTTAGAGTATAAATATCAGTGTTACATGTATTTGTATCTGGAATTATTAATTTCAAAACGGTATACAGGGGGAAAAACTACAGCTGCAACAAATATGTATTGTTTCCTTTGTAAATGGGTTTCTTAACTCCTACAAACACTTAATACAACCAAGCAGCAAATCTACAATCGACAGTCATAAGATTGTATTAGGCTTTTAATATATATTAAAACAAAAGAACTAACTGGAGGACTATTTATATGTTCACATCAGGTCTCTCTTGTAAATGAGTCCTCGAGGCTCCATGAGACTAACCTGTATAAATAAAGGTTGAATGAATGAATTTTTCAAATATTAGACCTCATTTATTCACAAGTGCTGCTAACAACTCTGAAGTTCATAGCAAAAACCAACGCAGACATGTTCCTGTTTTTAGCATTTTACACCACTTTATAATGTAGCTGTTTTTTGTTTAATTTTTATATCATTTCTTCTGTTTACGTTTTCATTTTAACTACTTTTTATATGATTGTCTATTGTTGTCTGTACCTCATATGTGTTCTTTGTTTAAAACATGTCTCTTGTGAATGAGTCCTCGTGGCTCAATGAGACTAACTTGTAGAAATAAAGGTTGAATGAAAAAAGTGACATCTAGTTTAGACTGGGACACAGTAGTCAATTGTTAGCTTACACTGCAGTGACTAAATATGCTAACAAATTACTAGACAGTGACTTAATTCTTTAAAATAAACACCTCTTTTTTAAGTGTGCATTTGCATGGCCTGTTTTTGAAATGTGGAATTAATATAATATACATCTTGATGATAAAAAATCATTGTTTTGTACATTTTTTGAGTGTGGAATTGTGCACTGCAGACATGTAGCAGTCTTTCAGGCTTGCAGGACCCCCGTCAGTCCTTTTTAATGATCTGAATCAACAATCTTGGATATCTTGTTTTGTGCTTTCCTTATGATCTTGAAATATTGAACTGTTTTAGTACTATTTATACTTTGTATTAACAGTCTAGTCCAGGGGTCTGCAACCTGCGGCTCTTGGGCCACGTGTGGCTCTTTGGTCCTTGGTCTGCGGCTCCTTGAAGCTTTGACCAAACATAATGCAAACTGTAAAGTCATTGATTTTTATACCCACAATAAAGAGAAATGGCAGGTTTAGCCATTTTTCTGCAAATGTTTAAATGAAATTAGAGAAAATAATGATGAATAGCTTTAGCTACTTCATTTATCTAACATCCGGCCTTAAACGGGAATAATTCTCTCAAATCCCCCAGAAATTCTTTGGAATAACTTTTGGACAAATTGCCAAGAAGAAATATGGTGAATACATTAGATGGATGGATGGATCTACTTAAAGTTAAAGTAAATACAAAAGTTGTTTTCAAATGAAAAATTTAATGTCACATTGACACATCCAACACAATTGCCTATTATTTAGACAAATAAAGATACTATTTAAATTTATGCTTTATTACTTTAAAGTTGGATACATTTTTTTTCCCCTAAAATTAAAAGAAAGAATCAAAAACCTGCAGAGTTCAGGGTTAAAATTTATTTGGTAAAATAGGTATGGATATTTTTTCCCTCCTTGTTTACATGAATGCAGTCTTTTCCTTAGCCCTAAAATGTAAAAATATGAATAAATGTTAAAATTCATTATATTATTTTGTTTTTATAAAGTCACCCCCAATTGCTGTTGGGGGGGGGGGGGGGGGGACAAAAAATATTTCATCCTAATTTTAAGTGGCCCATGAGCCACCAGTTGATAATCACTGTTGTAGCAGGTTTTGTGGCTCTGGACATGTATTATTTCAGAAGTGAAGAGTAGAAACGGCTCTTTTGATCTAAAAGGTTGCAGACCCCTGGTCTAGTGATTTCTGCTTAGGAGCTTTCCTTTTGAAATAAAATGAGAGGTGATCACTTTTTGGATTATTAACATGCACCTTTCTGTGGTGGTGTTGCACAGTAATCCATACCTTTGCAAATTAAGAAATAATACAGTCTGTATATAAGATAGAGGCAGAGTAGACTTTGCAGAGTCCAATCTAACTGCTGTTGACATTCACATTCTTACATGTGGCTTTTTTTAAATTCAATTCTGTCTTAATTTCAGGGCTGCAGAGCATGTGTGAAATCTGCTGCATGAAGTTAGATAAGATTAACATGTTTGAATTGTCTTGAGCTGCGTTGATAACTTTATTTCTGCTCTTTGTCAGATTTGATGATGAAACAGGGGGCTCCAGTAGTGAAAAAGAGCGCTTTGCCAGGTAAGAGTGCAAACAAGGAGAAACTAATGTGAGTGGAGGGAGTATATCGGATGCAGCCAAGTTAAAACTACTTACAATTTCTGCTTTCAGTGCTTTCTTTTTTTTTCATCCTACACGTTTTAAAATAATTTGGTAGTGGCTTTTGGGCTTGTTTTTTTTAGAGGGCTGGTTTCATTTCCAGGTTTTTGGAAGACGATCAGAGTTTTGCAGATAAGGAAAAACTAGCCAGGTATGGCATGTAGCACCGAGGAAGGGTCGCTCTCCTGCTTGTATCCACATTGATATCAAATGCAAGGATCAAACACTGTCCTGTCATGCTGGGATCCCAGCACGTTGGCGTTTGGACGGCACAAAATTATCAGTACAACTTGCTGCTCCATGTGTCTGTTTTGGTGCTCGACAGAAAAGCAGCTGGTTATGTTTCTCAACCTGTCACCGTGTTATGTGTCACTAACTGCACTACTGTGTGTGAGTCTGGGACCTTTTTCACTCTGGTAATCCCATCGCCTGAGCAACTGGTCTTTGTGTATGCCTCCCACCCACCCTTCCTTTACAGGACAACTGAAGCATCTCTTTTTCTGCACTTGGCTGTTTGTTTGTTTTTGTCACCCAATCTGGCCTCAACAACCAGACTTTCTTGCTTTCTCACACAGAGGTTATAAATTACACTTTTTTATGAGTCAGCTTCTTCTTTTACCTTTTCTCATTCCACGCTCTTTTTTTTTTTTTCCCCCCAAATTGTCACACTTGCATTGCAATGTCAGCTAAACTTTAAGTTGCTCACCTACCTAGCTGTTTGCCCATTTTAACCCCTTCTTTTCTCTCTACTTCTTCCACCCTTGTTTCCTCATTCCAGGGAGAATCACAGTGAGATTGAGAGGCGGCGGCGGAACAAGATGACTGCTTACATCACCGAATTGTCAGATATGGTACCCTCGTGCAGCGCATTAGCACGGAAACCAGACAAATTAACCATCCTGCGAATGGCCGTTTCCCATATGAAGACTCTTAGAGGAACTGGCAACACCAATACTGATGGGTCATACAAACCTTCCTTTCTCACTGATCAGGTAAAATTATGTGTGTAAAATGTTGTAGATGTTAAATATCTACCAACCAAAAGGGCTAGTTGTACCCAGCTCAGCAGTGGGGAAAATGTGGAGTTTTATGAAAGGCATGTTCAGTGTAAGAAACCATTCTTGATTTGGCAGTATGTCTTGTGAGAAGTCTCCTGAGCTATTTAATACTCAGATTGAGGAAAGTCCCCAAATGGCGAAACATCTTCAACTACAGAATAGAAGTTTCGTTGTTTTGTTTTCTGATGGTTTATTATTAGTCACATTATAGTCGGTCATTATTAGTCATTATAGTCATTATGCTCTGAAGTTAAAGGAATGGCTCACTTTTCTTGAAGTAAGATTCTGTGGAAAGGTTAAATAGTAAATGGATGGTACTTAAATAGCGCCTTTCTATCTAATCAGGATACTCAAAACACTTTACAAAACGATCTGTGCCCTCATTTACCTCCACACACATATTCATATAGCACTGTGCTAGATATCTATAAAGCTAATCTGAACAAACCTTTCTATAGAGACTATTCAGTTCTTTAGGTCACATTCATACACTGACAGGACACATCAGAGACAATGTTGGGTTCATTGTCTTGCCCAGGGGCACTTCAACATGTGACTTCTGCTCGAATCGAACCCCCAACTCTCCCATTGGAGGATGAATGCTCTTACCACTCAGCCGCAGCTGCTCCAAGACAATAGTTTACCAATTGTAGTTGATTCCTCTTTCAACAGCCTCTTTCTTAAGGAAGTAGTTTGATTCTGACTAGGCCTGTCAGAATTGTCATAAACAATAAATCAATTAATCGTATGATAAACGAAAATTATGCCTTCGTCTAAAAAGTTTTTTTTCTCTGCAAAGGAAGCTGAGAACTTCCAAAAAAGTTCAATCTGGTCCTCTGGACATTCAAAAAAAAAGCAAAAAAAATATAGAAACGTTTCGTCTCTCATCCAAGATACACTCATCTCCAGGCCAGCGGTCACTCTTTCAGGGATGAAGATGTTCACATCCTGGACAGAGAGGAACGATGGTTTGAGAGAGGAGTAAAGGAGGCCATCTTTGTGAAAAGAAATCGTCCATCATTAAACAGGGGTGGAGGCCTCCAGGTTCAACTGTCCCCCTCTTACAATGCTGTGATTGCTAGTATCACTCAGCCCTCTGTGAGTAGTAAACAGCCATCAGTGTGCTAATGATCCGTTGTTAGGCTGATGGTCCTTCTTGAGCATGTGATCAGCTGGTTTTGGTTGTCGGCAGCAAAACTGGTTGATCCACTCTGAGAAGGTGCTATTTAAGAGACTGAGCTGAAAACAGCACCTCAGACTGAGGAAGTCTCTTGGATGAGAGACGAAACGTTTCTAGATTTTTTTGCTTTGATATATATATTTTTTTTTGAATGTCCAGAGGACCAGATTGAATTTTTTTGGAAGTTCTCAGCTTCCTTTGCAGAGAAAAAAAACTTTTTATTTATATAAAATTTTTCTACCTGGATTATTGAGCATGCATCAGGATAAGCTGAGAACTTGTTTACTGACTTTTTATTAAAAGCTTTGTGTGACAAATGCTATGCTAAAGAGCTAAAACCGCACAGAGCATCCGCCATTTTGAGAACCGAAAAACAGGAACGAGAGACATCCCATGTCACGTCAAGGGGCCTACCTCCTATTTTTCTTAAAGAGACGCGCTGCTTGCTCCCTCACTATCCATCCTTAAGTTAAACAGTCTTGTACTGCCATCCGGTAGTCGAAAAAAGGTACTACATGCAAAACAAATGAACAAATATTTCTTCTTAAATTTGACAATAATTATTATTATTATCAAATTTTAAACAATATTTTAATTTATTGCAATATTTTCTGAGACAATTAACAAAGTCCATGCTCAATAATCCAGGTATACAGTCCAACAATTTTCAGTCAGGTCATCTGGACAGTTTCTTTTTTTTTTTTGTGCTGAAACGTTTCACCTTCCATCCAGAAGGCTTCATCAGTCAAGGAAACACACAACACAAAACTGATTCTTCCTCTAACAGCTTACTCCAAAGTGGAACAAACCAGTTATGTTGGTGCTAAGATGGTGTCTTTGGCACGCCCCCTCCTCCGGTGCTGGTCCTCTTCCTCGTCGACAGTCATGTCAAACTGGTTCAAAACCAACAAAGTTTGTTCCACTTTGGAGTAAGTTGTTGGGGGAAGAATCAGTTTTGTGTTTTGTGTTTCCTTGACTAATGAAGCCTTCTGGATGGAAGGTGAAATGTTTCAGCACAAAAAAAAGAAACTGTCCAGATGACCCGACTGAAAATTGTTGGGTTCTGAGACAATTAATCGCCCAGCAAAATTAGTTTTTGTGACGGGCCTAATTCTGACTGAACTGACAAGCTTAACAGTTCGTTTGCGTGGGACTAAGACCAAAGTGGATTGCTGCCTTCGTAAACATTCATTCAACCTTTATTTATACAGGTTAGTCCCAATGAGTCTCAGGTACTCATTTACAAGAGAGACCTAAACAACTCCAATCTCAAAAGTTTCACAAAGATTCACCCTAACACTATTTTATAAACCTTTTATAAACTTTTACAACTCCCTAAATTATGCATAACACGGTCTTATTCAATATTATGCAAGCCCAAATAGCAGCAGCTAGCTGTAACACTTTCAGTGCAGCCTGGATCACCTTCAGAAGAAATACTGTAATATTTCTGCCAAAATAATTGTTTAGTGCAAAACTGATAGTGATGAAAAACTTTTTAAAATGGTGTTTGTGTGAAGCAGTATGAAAATATTGAGAATGGAGTTCTTTTGAAACAGTAGAATCTACTTTGGTCTTAGTAGAAGTTCAAAATGCTAAAAATAAAAGTGTGTTAGATGTGGTGGAAATTAATGTTGTATTAAGTTTTAACTCGTGTCTGGGTGAAAACTTTAGATTCATGTTTCATGGAGGTACTCTCACCATCACCGCTCTTTGATTTTGTTTGTCCGCAGGAACTGAAGCACCTTATCTTGGAAGCAGCCGATGGTTTCCTGTTTGTAGTGTCGTGTGAGACAGGCCGCATTGTTTATGTCTCTGACTCGGTTACACCTGTTCTCAATCAGCCACAGTCGGAATGGCTGGGCTCCTCTCTTTATGATCAGCTCCACCCAGACGACACAGAAAAGCTCAGGGAGCAACTCTCCACCTCAGAGAACAATAACACAGGTGTCAAGTACACACAAAAAATGACTAGTGCCTCACTGAGTAGGCAGAAAAAAGAGCATCTACCTTGGTAAAATTCATGCACTAAAGTTCAGTGTCTTTGCTTTGAAAGGGAGGATGCTGGACTTAAAGACAGGAACAGTAAAGAAGGAGAGTCAGCAGTCGTCAGCCAGAATGAATATGGGAGCCCGTCGGTCATTCATCTGCAGAATGAGGTGAGACTCATAAGAGCTGATTATCTTGTGCAGACTTTAAATGAAAATTTGTGCCAAGAGACATCACATTTTTGTGTGATTATCATTTTTTAGGTGTGGCACGTGTCCAGTGGAACCCATGTCGATGAATAGACTCGGCTTTCTAAGGAATAGAAACAGGTTACAAAAATATTATTGTTGACGAGCAGTGTGAATGAGATGCATCTAAACACATTTTAATCTCTGTTTAAAAACAAAGGAAACTGAAGGATTTTTTTGTGCTTGTCTCTGTTTATTCCTTCACATCAGGAATGGTTTGGGTTCACCTAAGGAAGGGGAGCCCCAGTACGTAGTGGTCCACTGTACAGGATGCATCAAGTCCTGGCCCCCTGGAGGTAAAACAAATTAATCAAATACTTCTGTCCCTGTTTATTTGCTTCAGAACTTGAGCAGGTTTTTTCTAAGGTGGTACGAACACATTTTTTACTGTTTGTATTTCAGGTGTATCATTAACAGATGAGGAAGCAGACAACAATCAGGGGAGCCGCTACTGTTTAGTTGCCATTGGGAGATTACAGGTATGATGGATGTTAGAGACCGGCATTTAAAGCAAAAACACTCTTTGAATTTTTCTTCTAATTTTTGAATAATGAAACAGAAGCTTCGGGTACAGGCCTGTGCTGTTACTAATTCCGCTAGCCATGGATTTTTATATTCCTTTGTTTTCACAAAAGGATGAATGTGTTCTGGCAGTAAAGCTGAGCTCACCCATTACTAAGGCTTCCACTTAATAACCCTTTAAAGTAAACCATGTTGGCAGAAACAAATACCAGAATGCTTCAGGCTGTTTTATTTATTTCGGGAGAAGGGTGGGTGGTTGATGTTGTTGAAAGCACCCTAACTAAGTACAATTAAGAAAATTTGACACCTCACTTCTCTGTGCCTGTAATATAAAGAGGATTTTTTTTTAACAGTTGCGATGGCTGCATTAATTTTTCATGTCTGCCCAGTTTAACTAGACTTCAAATAGTCAAAAAGCATTTTCTATTCCCAACAGATGTGTGCTGTGATTCAACTTCCAATGACAAAACCATTTTTTATGTTTAACAAAAATAAGGGTGCACTAATCTGACACATTTCCTTTAATTTGTACACATTGCAGCTCCAGTATTATTTGAAACCCTAACGTTAACCAGCTGAGTAATATAATATAATATATGGGCTCTACTGGTGTCAGAACACAAACAAATGTTTTCGAAATAGTCAGCAAATATTTTGATTTAGTGGAGATTTGTATAAAAATAATCTCATGAAACTGATCAAGTAAAACAGAAAATGAATCGTAATGATGCACATTGTGAATTTTATAGTTTGTTTGTTTAGTTTATTATGTTCTTTATGACATTATATTTAAGCTGATAATTGTTTTGTTTCCTTTTTTCCTCCAGGTTACTTGTTGCCCAGGTGACACGGACCTCAACAGCATCAGCGTTCCAATCGAGTTCATCTCCCGCCATAACTGCCACGGTTTGTTTACCTTCGTAGACCATCGCTGCGTTGCCTCTACTGGCTATCAACCCCAGGTAAAGACAGCTGCTCAAAGCGACAGCGCCACATAAAATCCCCACAACTTGTTTTGGGACACAAATAATGTCATTTCCTAGGACTAACAAATGTTGAAATGTTTTGTTAAATGCTGCAGGATTTGCTGGGAAAGAATATCCTGGAGTTTTCCCACCCTGAGGACCAGGGTTTGCTGAGAGACAGCTTCCAGCAGGTAGACAGTTTCTTCCTTTTATTTTCGTGTGTATTGAACACACACATCTGCCATTGTAGTTCTAAAATGTTGTATAATTTAAATAATAATCATTATAACTTGATGCATCTGGCTTTAATTTGAACACATGCTTGTAGAACAGAGCCTCCACTAACATCAGATGGCGTGCTGTGTCCTTCAGAACCACAAAATACTGAAGTTTGTTTTCTGCCAGATGTGCAACAGTACTCCAAAAGATTTTACACAGACTTTGATGTTTAAACTTGGAGTTTCCATTTAGGTATTTTTGCTAGTAATGTGTATGAGAAACCCAGATTTGTGGAAGACTTTTTCTTGAACATTGTTCTGCTTGTTTTGGACCGATACCTAAACTAAATGTCCAGCCAGGGATGTTTTTCAGCGTGAAACTAGTTTTTCTAACCACAGTTTGTCTCATCTTTAAAAATTGTTGTTTATTTACTTATCGAGCCTGATATCTCTCATGTATTTGCATTTTTTTTGAGTAATGCCTATAAATATACAACATTATGAATCTTTGGCGCCTTTATGTCTTCAGGTGGTGAAGATGAAAGGCCAGGTGTTGTCTGTGATGTTTCGGTTTTGCTCCAAATCAAGAGAATGGATCTTGATGAGAACGAGTTCCTTTACTTTCCAGAACCCTTTTTCAGAAGAGATTGAGTATATCATCTGTACCAATGTGAATGTCAAGTGAGTAACGAGTGCTACGTCATAACACAATAAATACAGCATACATTGAGTCAATCACTAGTTGTCTGGATACAAAGATATTCAGCTCAAAGTTTAATTTAAACCCTCAAACACAACGTTTTTTAATAAACCACTCTCTCCCACCACTTCTCTTCATCCATCAATGATTGTGGGGCAATAGAAACTCAACCCAGGACCCCCTCACTCCTATCTCCTCCCCGGGGGCTCCGATGCCTCTGGGTCAGAGCAGCTCAAACGGTCATGCTGTGGTGCACAGCCCGGGGCAGATGGCCACCAGGTGAGACCAGGCCTGAAGAGACCGAACTCCCGCTGCTTTGGAGAATGGGGGCTGCTTCTTTTATGGGACACTACAGCTGTTTCTGGCAACTAAAGTCCTTCAGAGTTTTTATTTTTGTTTTGTTTTTATTTCCCCTTTCTGGGTGACTCCTCCCTTTTATTCATTTTTGATGAGCTGGAGTAGCAACATTAGATAAAAGCATGTTTTAGTCTTTTAAATGTGGTTAAAAGACATCAGCTTTTAACAGAGGTGGTGTAGCATGTTAGTAATACTGTACTTGTTTATGTTGCCATAGTGGCTGGTGGTGGGTTGAGTGCTGTTTTTGTCAAGAGGTGTTTGGGATTTCTTACTCATCAGTAGAGTGCTTGAAATACAAGTGGGGGCGGGGGTGTCAATCAAAATTCTGTTGTGTTTTTGTTTGTTTTTGCAGACAGTTGCAGCAGCAGCAGGCCGACTTTGAGGGAGATGGGGCAAGAGATGGGGTGTATGAAGCAAGACCAAGCACCCACGCACAGGTCAGGCCATGCACTTGTAGCTTAATATACTGTAGCAGATGACCACATGGTTTCTCCTTTTGTTTTGAAACTGAGAGCTTTATTTAAGGGAACAGTGGCAGGATGTTTGTTATACGTTCAGACATCGGGGAAGCTCTGTTGCTCTCACAATTTCTTTAAAACTGTGTGCAGCTTTAATTAACCACTACTATTTATAATTTGATCACATTAAGAAATTTTAAAACAAGAAATGTTCTGGCCAAATATAAATGAACACGTTTTACCAAAACTACTTCCAAGACTAAAAGGCAACAAAAATTCAGGAGTTAGTTTTCTCAAGAGCTTGCAGTGATGATAATCAGAGGTGTGTGTGCGTGCAAGGGACAGAAGGTTTAGCAGAACACTGTCATGACTCAGATGATTCTGCAGTACGATAATTGAAAACACACACCAGCTCTTGTGTTTAGTCGGTATGAATAAGCAAAAAGGTTAAACAAGGTAACGGATAAATGAACAAAATGTGAAATAATTGGCAACAATTCTTGATGCTTAAAACAGCTGCAGGCTTTACAATGTAGAGCTAAGCCTTAACAAATGACTCCGGGCCCCTCTGAGGCAGTGCGGGTGAATAAGTTTGCATGTGCCGTGTTGTTCTTGTGGTGTCGAATCAGAAAGAAGCTTTTCATTATTGGCTTTCAAATTAATGATCTGGAGCAGAGTTGTTATGTATAACCTTCCACTGCACATTCAAAACTTCTGCTGTTCGCTGTGCTGTGATCAGCGCAACAACACGATGTACATGAAGTCGACATAAAATAGGATGTTTTTTAAAGCATCATGCAACTGCCTTATCTGATGTTTGTCATGTAGATTTCTACATAACCTTTATTTAACCAGAAAGGTCCCGTGGAGATTTAAAAAAAAATCTATTTTTCAAGAGGGAACTGATCAGGATAAGCAGCAGCAAATGGAAAACATCGTTACCACATCACAGTTATGACAACACAATTAAAAACAGTTATTTAAAACAAATTAGGAACAAGTATGATATGAAGTTAGCTGCAAGTACTCTCAATTTTGATTAAAAATGCTTAAAAGGCACCTCCTCAAAGTGGATCAACCAATTTGCTGCTGACAGCCAAAACTAGTTGTTCACATGCTAAAGGAGGACCATCAGCAATCGTTTGTGCCCTGATGGCTGCTTGCTATTCACAGAGGGCTGAGTAATACTAGCAATAACAGCATTGTAGAGGGGGACAGTTTTGAACACGGAGGCCTTCTCCCCTGTTTAATGATGGACGGTTTCTCATCATAAAAATGGCTTCCTTCACTCCTCTCAAACCATCGTTCCTCTCTATCCAGGATGTGAATATCTTCATCCTTGAAAGAGTGATCGCTGGCCTGGAGATGAGTGTAGACCGCAGAATCCTGGCCTGATGATGTTGGTCTTCTGTGCTGGGCCATCCTTTTGGCCTGTGGCTGTTTAGTTTCCCCGATGTAAGACTGATCACAGCCCTCCTGACACTGAACAGCATACACAACATTACTCTGTTTGTGCCGGGGGACTGGATCTTTGGGATGAACCAGTCTTTGCCGTAATGTATTTTGGGTTTAAAAGCCACTGGGACGTTGTGTTTAGAAAATAAACGTCTGTTTCTCTGATACTCCCTCAACATACGGAATGACCAATGGTCTGGGTTCCTCCTTTTCACCCGATGGCTGACTGGAGTCCTGTTTGGGTTTCTTCTCTGCTTTCAGGAAGGCCCAGTTAGGATATCCACATTGCTCTAGAGCCTGTCTTGTGTGGGATTTCTCCTTCTGCCTGGCTCCTGAGTTTGTGGGGACGCTGTCTGCTCTGTGGTACAGAGTCCTGATGACTCCTAACTTGTGCTCCAGTGGGTGATGGGGGGTCACAGGTGACTGACTTAACCTTGTTGGATTTATCTACCTGGATTATTGAGCATGCATCAGGATATCCAGTGACGTAGCTCCGCGGGCTAATAAACGACTGCTGTCAACTTGCGTCAAAATCGGCACCTTGATGCAGTTAGCTTGGATCCTCAAACAAGGTTGTCCCATAAACTGGGCTGAGTGGGGGTGGGTGCCAGCAGTGGGGAGGCCCTTAACCAGTGCGGTGTGATGTGGAACTGATGAGAGTTGAGACGGTGGCAAAACACCATTAGATGTAAGATGTGTGTAAGCAGTGTATAAAGTAGTGCTACTGAGAAGCTTTCTTGTTTACTGTAGTTAAAATCTGAATAGTGCCCATTTTTTTTATGACAGAAAGTAAAAAATATATAATACTGGGATCTAAATAGGATGGTAATTGATCATTTAGTTTTGTGCGTGTGTGTGTTTTTACTATTATTCCTAACTGATACTTTTGGTGGGCTTCAGATTCAGCCAGTGACACCAGCAGGACCAGACCACAGCAAAAGCATAGAGAAGCTGGAGCTCTACCCCTCCCTCTTTTCAGGACCAGATCAAGCCAAGCGCAGCCCCTCCAGCTCGACTCCATCCACTCAGATTTATGCCAACAACTTTGCTGCTGGTCGATCCAGCGAGACGTACAGGTAGGAAAGTGTTTAAGTAAGTGCTTTCATGTAGCCTTTCTCATTGTGAGATTGCACAATTGAGGTTTTAATGGTCTAAAAATGCATGAAATATATTTGTGACACAGTTTTGGTGTAGTATTTCTTTGTAAATAAGGAATAGAAGTGCGTAGTTTGTTAAATAGAAGTTTGAATTACCGTATTTTCCGCTTTATAAGCCACACTTTTTTGCATAATTTACATGCCCTGCGACTTATACGTCAAAGCAACATATTTATGGATTTTTTTTTCCATATTTATAAACCTTTTTTTGGCAGAGATATGACTGTTTTCATTCAGTCTGACAACAAAAAAGAGCAGTACCACTTTCAGCCACTTGATGGCAGCAGAGTAGTAGTTGTAGTATGGCATGCCGTTGTATTCAATTCATCCATCCATCCATTATCTTTACCCACTTATTCCATTTTGGGTCACGGGGTTCGCTGGTGCCCATGTCCAGCAATCACTGTGCGAGGGGCGGGGTACACCCTGGACGGGTCACAAGTCCATCACAGGGCCACACAGAGACAAGCGAGACAAACAAACATTCAGTCTCTCACTCACACCTAGGGACAATTTAGAGTTACCAATCAGCCTAACATGCATGTTTTTGGTCTGTGGGAGGAAACCGGAGTACCCAGAGAAAACTCACGCATGCACGGAGAGAACATGCAAACTCCGCCCAGAAAGGCCCCTGGACCGGGGTTTGAACCAAGGACCTGCTCGCTGAGAGGCAGCAGCTCTACCAGTTGCGCCACCGTGCTGCCCCTTGTATTCAATTCAATTCAGTTTATATAGTGTCAAATCACAACAAAGTTGTCTCGGGGCACTTTACAGAAACATTCACATACATAAAAGCCAATTAGTCAAGTTCTCTATCTAAGGAATCCAGCAGACAAGTTGAATCTTGGCTTTATTGCAATCTCCCATCCTGAGAAAGCACATGATTGATACGTTGTATCATGTAATAGGTAAATGTGGCTATAATGACAAATTCAAAAAATTTCAAAACAAAAACAACTGGACTTTATTATACTTTACTTTATACTGTATTGTTTTTTTTCTTGAACTTTTTTGAATTTACCATGTCCTGGATGACTGAGAGTCTTCACCAACTATTAATGACTCAATAAGCTTGCCGTAGTCTCCCCACCTTGGTTCTGCTCGCTGCTTGGACTGACCGTCAAACCAGCTGCACCGCCCTGGTGAAATGCAGCTAATTTGACCATTAAAGTGCATTTATTAAGTAAGAAGCGGAGCCTGGGGACTCTGGGTCGGGCCCTCCAATCTCTGGTGCTGAGGTCACCGAGGTGGTTAAAAAGCTCCTCGGTGGCAGGGCCCCAGGGGTGGATGAGATTCGCCCAGAGTTACTTAAGGCTCTGGATGTTGTAGGGTTGTGTTGGCTTACGCGACTCTGCAATATTGCGTGGACATCGGGGGAAGTTCCCCTGGATTGGCAGACCGGGGTGGTGGTCCCCCTATTCAAAAAGGGGGACCGTAGAGTGTGTTCCAACTACAGGGAATCACGCTCTTAAGCCTCCCTGGTAAGGTCTATTCGGGGGTTCTGGAGAGGAGGGTCCGTCGGATAGTCGAACCTCGGATTCAGGAGGAACAGTGTGGTTTTCGTCCTGGTCGTGGAACACTGGACCAGCTCTACACTCTCAGCAGGGTCCTGGAGGGTGCATGGGAGTTTGCCCAACCGGTTTACATGTGCTTTGTGGACTTGGAGAATGCGTTCGACCGCGTCCCTCGGGGGGCCCTGTGGGGGGTACTCTGGGAGTATGGGGTACCGGGCCCTTTGATACGGGCTGTTAGGTCCCTGTATGACCGGTGTCAGAGCCTGGTCCGCATCGCCGGCAGTAAGTCGGGCTTGTTCCCGGTGAGAGTTGGACTCCGCCAAGGTTGCCCTTTGTCACCAATTCTGTTCATAACTTTTATGGACAGAATTTCTAGGCGCAGCCAAGGTGTTGAGGGGATCCGTTTTGGTGGCCTTAGGATTGCGTCTCTGCTTTTTGCAGATGATGTGGTCTTATTGGCTTCATCAGATCGTGATCTACAGCTTTCGCTGGAGCGGTTCGCAGCCGAATGCGACACGGCCGGGATGAAGATCAGTTCCTCCAAATCCGAGGCCATGGTCTTGAGCCGGAAAAGGGTAGAGTGCCCTCTCCGGGTCAGGGAGGAGGTCCTACCCCAAGTGGAGGAGTTCAAGTATCTTGGGGTCTTGTTCACGAATGAGGGAAAAATGGAGCGTGAGATCGATAGGCGGATAGGTGCAGCGTCTGCAGTGAAGCGGGCGCTGTACAGGTCTGTCGTGGTGAAGAGAGAGCCGAGTCAAAAGGCGAAGCTCTCAATTTACCGATCGATCTACGTTCCCACCCTCATCTATGGTCACGAGCTTTGGGTTGTGACCGAAAGAGTGAGATCTCTGATACAAGCGGCCGAAATGAGTTTTCTCCGCAGGGTGTCTGGGCTCTCCCTTAGAGACAGGGTGAGAAGCTCGATCATCCGGGAGGGACTCGGAGTAGAGCCGCTGCTTCTCCACGTCGAGAGGAGCCAGTTGAGGTGGCTTGGGCATCTGTTTAGGATGCCTTCTGGACGCCTCCCTGGTGAGGTGTTCCGGACACGTCCCACCAGAAGGAGGCCCAGAGGAAGACCCAGGACACACTGGAGGGACTATGTTTCTCGGCTGGCCTGGGAACGCCTCGGGATTCCTCTGGAAGAGCTGGCCCAAGTGGCTGGGGAGAGGGAAGTCTGGGCCTCCCTACTTAGGCTGCTACCCCCGCGACTCGACCCCGGATAAGCGGAAGAAAATGGATGGATGGATATTAAGTAAATGTTAAACTGAGACACACCTTTTTGCTATAATTTCGAGCAAACAAATAATTGTTTTAAGTATTAATCTTGTTAAATTCTTGTTAAAGTCCTCCCGTGCACGCTTCTGTGGCCACCATTTGGCAGCCAATCGTCTGTTTTTTTTTTTTTTTGGCACAACAAGGGCCCACATTTCCGGGTTGTTAGTGGTGTCGCATAATAGATGTGACGTATACGGCGAAGCGACATATTTATGGATTTTTCCACTTTTATTAGATGAAAATGTACTGATGCGACTTATACGGCAGAAAATACGGTAAATGGGTTTTATGCAATCTAGTAATCCTGTAATCTGTTAGTAAAGAAATACAGCAATATTTAGTAAACTTTCTGTAATAAGTCTAATTTGACATGCCAGCTGGTTTGCATTTATAGACGTTTGCAGACCACACCAGGGCAGAATTGTACTGTTTTGAGTGAAATTAGCTAATGTGAATAAACAGCTGTTGGTAAAACTGTTGTTCTTGCTGTTAGTCTTCCAGTGTTCATCTGGACTCGTGTAGCAGATTCTTCTCTTCAAAGCGACAAACTATTTTTGGACTTGAGTAGAATAAGTTTTCAGTGCTGAATCTATTCAGGGAGGAGAGTCAAACAGATTAAACAGTGCACCGTAGGAGTTGGGCTGTAAGAGGTATTAAGAAGAAAGGTATTTCTTGGAAAAGATGGAGATTATCAAAGCTGGAGAGTCATGACCTTGCTCTAATAGCATTTGGTAACCTGTTCCACCATTGTTGGACTACAAATAAAAACACTTTGAGCTTACACCTCCTTATGCATAGTGATTACCATAAGCATATAAAGACTGTAAAAGGTTTGATATTGAGTTTATCAGACTTTAAACTACGACTAATGTATTGTGTTTGTTATTTATTTAAGTGATACGTGATCCTGATCTTGTAAACTCTGGTATGAAATTTTCAAAAACTTATAACTTACTTCATGCTCATCTTAAATGAGGTGGCTGAAGGAGATTTTGGCTTTGAAGCAGTGATAATATTAATCAGGTCACAACTTAAAATCCATTTTTCTGTTGTCATTTTGTGTAGCTGTGATATAGGGCACTAAATTGAACATTTAGAATCGTAGCACTTGATTTTTATTTATTTATTTAATCTATTTTATTTTAAACTTCCTCTGAATTGCATAATAACAGAGGTTTAATTTTTTTTTCTCAAACAAATTTTTTTACTCTTAAAAGCAACAACAAACCTTGTGTGTTCCTTCTAGTATTTAGCATGTTTTTGTTTTAATATAAAAATGTAGAGTTTTGGTGAGGTCTCATCAAGGTGAAAAAATGTGATGATTTTGTTTCTGGGTTTAAAAAAAAGTATATCCATTATAAATCCTTCAAAAGTTCATCTTTTTGAGGACCGTGCATTTTTAACGCTGCTCTCAGTACCGTTTACTGCTAAATGCCCTTTTGTTTACTTCAGAATGAATTTTTTATGTTTATTTTAGTAACGATCCCATCACACTTTTATGACAGCAAGACGTATGGTTTAATGTTTCATATTTACATGATGGACTTGAATACTCGTGTTGGCTTATGTACATTATGCCTTCCTAAAATAATACAAAATTAAAAGCCAACTCTTTAATGATGTCTGCAGATCGGTCAGTATGACTCCACAGAGTGTGCAGCCAACACACCCAGCGGGGCCATTGCTGACTCATATGTCTCGTCATAACGGAGCCCCACAGTCTGTTACCCCATCAAGCACCAACAGCTCCCTCCACGGGGGCTCAGGAGGAGGATGGGCCGGGGCTGGAGCCAGACCACAGTTTAATAACCAGGTACGTCTGCACAAATAGTCCATGAATCATGTTGTTTATCTCGATCCCTTTGCTACACATTAAATCCATCTTAGGGTAGTTTATGTAGTTGGTCTTCTTCTAACCAGCAGGTGGCGCCGCAGGCAGCAAAGACCATGCCCCCACAGTTTCCCCACATGGTAGAATTTGGAGGTAGCTCTTCTAACGCCTTTGGCCAGATGCCCACGGGTGCTGCTCCCACCCCCACCAACAGCACAAACTACCCTCAAATGAATTCTCGTGCCAGCCTCAACACCAACGGCTACGGTAGATTGTCACGTTCATCATCTTTATATTTACTTTGATTATATTTTAACGTCGCTGCGATGGATTTGCGTCACTTTGAACGTGGCCAGGACGTATTTCCGTCATCCGTAAAAGTGAGGAGGGGGAATAAAAAGTGTTTTGTTGTGTTCTTGTTAAAGTCATCCAATCTAATGATACAGGGATTGAACAGATGCTGCATTTCAACAAGTGAAGAAAACCAAAGTCACAGTTTGAGCCGATCCGAGCAGGGCAGGTGTAGGTGCAGAAAAAAAATTCAGTCAAAATATTTTTTCTGCTTTAATCCATGTATTTAAAAAGGAACTAATTAGATAACAGGATTACTGCAAATAAAATGTAAGCAGTTACAACACTTCCTGAGATTTATACAGTGCAGAATTCATTATGTACGCAAGTTTTATAATCCAAAAATCTATCTACCTTTGAATTTGCTGCCTTGGTTGACAAGTTCTTTGTGCTCTCTATAATCTGAAGTTCTACAGGTTAACAGAAATAATACGTGTAGTTTCTTATTAAAAGAGCTTTCCAAAATAAAAGTCCAGGCAAGTGGAATGCTGTGCAAAGCTTGACGAGTTGATTTTATTAATGATTACAGTATATAAAAATCCAGCCACTCAAGTTGATATCAGTAGCTTCATAATTATCTTATAACCAGTTTGTTAAATCTGTCACGCAAATAAAAAATAAAGTTTTAAAACTGAAGTATATGGGGCAGCTTCATCACGTTTTACAGCTAAACTTTGTGATTTTTGTTTTGTCCATACTGACTCTTGATATCACTCAGGGCAAAATTTGCATTTTACTGTGATGTTGTTGTCTCTTCCATTAATTTAAAAGTTAAACATGAACTTTTGTAACATAAACCGGTTCTATCTGCCTTTTCACTGCAGAACGATTTGTTTAGACTTATTTTGTCACAACAAAACTAAAAGTTTAAGCAATAAAATATGAACAGCAGCAGAAAGTTTATTGTATGAGGCTACTAATAACTCAATACTCATTGTTTACATAATTTAGTGTAATTTATGAATAACTGCCTTTGATTTGCCTCTGAGTTCTGTTCATACAAGCCCTCTGCTCCCTCAGATGGTTCCCAGTCTGGGGCGCAGTTCCCCTCCCGGGCAGCGGAGGCAGTGTGGCCTCAGTGGCAGGGCCAGCAGCACACTCAGAGTAGCGCAGAGCAGCATCCTCACGCTCAGGGAAACCAGCAGGATATGTTTCCTGTGAGTGATGATTCCCTTCTGAGCATCATGTTACTCTCCTGGTGTGTGGCGCTTAAAATAAAAATATTTCTCCCCCCACTGAATTTAGGATGTGCTGTCTATGCTCGACCAGCCTGCCAACTTCAACAGTGATGACTTTGAGATCCCCATCTACCCGCCATATAACGAGTGACCCGGTCAAGCCTCGTCCGCTGGTCTTCCTCTTCGTCTTCTGCTCTCGCTTCACTTCAGGCGCTCTGCTTCTACCTTCTTCCTAACTTCCTTCTCTTTGAGTGGCTAAAAGCTGCGAGCCACTGAAAGTATTTTTACTGCACATGTATAGGGGAAGAATATCAAGAATTTACTTGTTTAAAATATGATTTTTCACAGTATTTCAGTTGTCAAAAGAGACTGCTCTAGCTAGCACTACCCAAAGCTTAACAACGTATGTTGTTGATGTGATATCAGTATATTACGAGTATATAAATGTTTTGCCACGCACAATCACCCGACCACACTTGAATAGACCGCACAAAAACACCCTCTGGTAAACGTACACACAAAGGCCTTTTATTCTGATGTCAGTGGTTATTCTCAGGCATAGATTAAGAGACAATATATATATATTTTCCTTTTTGATATTCTGACTAATAAGTTCAGCCAATGATGTAAAGTATTGGGGAAATAGCAGGGATGTATGTCTGGTTTTCTTTACTTTTCATTCTCCGTTGTTGCACGATAACCTCACCTTTCGTTTGAAATCTTCAGCATGTCTGCATGACTGAACGTCTTTCATGGAGCGCTTGTGTGTGCTAGTTTTACAGCACATGGATGTCTCTGTAGTTGTGCGTTTATTTTTGTTTTTCCTGTCTAGTTGTGTACTTCGACATCACACGCATGCGTCGAGCTGATGATTGAAACCAGCTTTTTGTATTTTCCTACAGATTTGTATGAAGAGTGTGCGTTTGTGTATGTTTATGTAACAAAAGGTTACAAAATATTTGTTAACAAAAGGTTAAGGGTTTCTGCCTTGCTGGGTTTAAAGTCAAACCCCTGTAGGGGTTTTTTTTGTACTTGTTTTGTAAAAGAAAAAATATATATATATGTGTGTATATATATATATATATATATATATATATAAAAATAATCAGTCAGCAATAATTAACAAGCAAGAAATGTGTACTTTTAAAGCCATTTTTTATTGTTTTCCTTGAATAATGTTATTTTAAGATGAAAAGATGCGATAGTTTGATTTATGTTTTGTATTTTATTTACTCTATTTTTCCTCAGATTGGTGTTTTTTGGTTAGATCAGGGTATATGAGATTAAAGTGGAACGAAGAGTCTAAAACGAATGAACCTAAAGTAGGTTTTGTTTGTTTGTTTGTTTGTTTGTAATTCTTTGCCGGCAGGATCTGTGTTGGACAACTTTTGCGTCTTTGAGAGAAAAGTTGCCAGATGAAAAGTAGCGCTTCAGAAGTTTCTCATTTTTAAAGTGTGAGATTTAAAGTCACATGTTTGTGTGCGTCACAGTCACACGTCTGTCATGACAGATTGTGTAATTGCCTTGTAGATAATTACGTTTTTGTTTTTTTAACATTCAGAGGGTGGCATGTTGATGATTGTGTTGTTTTTGTGTAAAAAAAAAAAAAACCTTTGGTCGCTCCGCATCCAGGTTTATTTTTCACTCTCCGAAACACGGATATATAAATATACTGTATATGTTTATGAAATTTTAAACAAGAGAATAAAATATTTGTTTTTTGTATTAAATTCTTTTAACGTGAAGAATGAAGCGGTTGAGAGTTGTATATGCACTCGCATGATTTACTAATCACTTTAAAGGCTTAGCAATGACTCACAGCTACTACCGTCCAAAATTTTAGCTCGCCACTTTTCTATTGGTCAAGGTCCATTAGCTTTTATTGACCTGTTTGTTTTCCTTTGTGTGCTGAAGATGTACGGATCAGTTTCCACCTTCACTCCTCCCTCCTTTCCACAGAGCTGAGGGGTGTGTGTGTGCGTGTGTGTGAGAAAACTTAATGTACCTAATGTTTCAAAACCCTCTGGGCTCTTCCCAGGCTGTGCTCAAGTGTCGGTCATTGGTTTAAATGTAGTTTATCCTTTGAACAAACGAAAACAAAAGTACTTCTTGGTGTTTTGGTGTTAATGGCATGAACTCACTTTACTTCCGTTTGTTAGCGGTATCAGAACACGAGCATTCTGCTCTTTTTTTAAAGTCAGGATCAGTTTCCTTCCCCTCTCAACTGGATTACAACCAAAGCGTCATATCCTCTTTCTCCTGAACCTTTTTACCGAGTCTTTACCATTCTCTTCCATTATTTCTTTTAACCTCTTTTAGGTCTTAACTTCTTTTTCTTTTGGGGGGCAAAGGTACTGTATCCTAAAAACGATGTACAAGAATTCTAATCTCAGAAACAGCCTGGATGTCACCAAACTCCTTATTAACTATTAAGAGAGGACACAGGTGTCTCGGGCTTTAGAACGAGGACGGGATGCGTCAACGTTGGGAGGAAAAGAAGACCTGGACCAGATGTGTTTCAGTCTGAGTCCCTGAAGGGTTTTGTGTGTTTTGGCAGCATGGACCCTCCGGTTGTGTCTGGGGCCAGGTTCGAGGTGGACGTGGATCTTGGTTTTGCCCTTTTCTTCTTCCTCCTCCTCTGCTTCTTTTTGCTGGTGACCATCGTCCGCTGTGCTCACCTGGTGCTGGACCCTTACAGCTCTGTCTCCGTTTCCACATACCAGGAGGAGGACACAGAGGAGTGACGATGGACACCACAGACCGGAGCAAACACGCCATGTGGAATGGTAAATGGTCTGTACTTATATGGCACCTTTGTACTTATATAGCACCTTTCTATCTTATCAAGATACTCAAAATACATTACACAACAATCTGTGCCTCATTTACCCGTTCATACAGCACTCTACTAGATCTCTATAGACTAATCAGTGTTTTATCACATTCATACACCGATGGGACACACATCGGAGGCAACGAGGGGTTCAGTGTCTTGCCCAAGGACACTTCTGCATGTGACAGCTGGTGAAATTGAACCCCCAACTCTCCCATTGGAGGAGGACTTCTCTAACTACTCAGCCACAGCCGCCCCAAATAATAATAATAATACAATAAGAATGATAAGAATAATACAAATTACTTTTTTTTTTTAGGACTGAGTTCATGAGTTTGACACATACTCATTTTTTTTGCACATAAATTTGGACAAATTACGGACGTTCCATTGATGTATTTAATTAGAAAAATGCACCACGGCTGAACAACAATCGTTTCAGGAAAGTGCAGTACAACATTAGAAACAAACAGTAAATGACAGAAGAGCCGAAGGTGTAAACTTGGACCATAAGCCACCTCCTCCTGCTTGTGATCACTCCTACGGGGTTCAAACATCAAGTGAAGCACAAGATACCAGGACCTGACCCTTCACTGACCTGTCTAGAATGTGTATGGGAACAAGTGTTTCTATTTATGGAGTCAGACCGTACCAGGACGGCCCAACCAACACCAAGCTGCTGGTCAGACAGGTTTTGGAAGGCATAGCTATAATTCACTGGGCTCTGATTATCCCTACAAAGGTCAACCTAATAACCAGGCCTGCAACCCGCCCTTCTCCACCTGCTACCATGCTAGAAGAGGAACTGTAAATACTGGAAGCCAAGATGAAAGGGCACCTCGTGGAGATAAAACCGTTGACAAGAAAGAAATGTGGACACTTGAAGGAAGTACATCAGAATGCTCTTGTTGGCCTTTTGAGTTTGTAACCCTGTATCTTATGTATGTGAAGTGATGCTGAATTTGGTCTCTTTGAAATGTGAAAGGAGGAGTATGAGTGTTTTTTTTCTGTTCATTATAATCATCACAGATTACAACTACCGTCCTGTCTCCAAACTCCCATTTGTTTCTAAAGTACTGGAGAAAATAGTCGAGTCCCAGTTGAAGTGCTTCCTGGAAGGTCACACCATCTTAGAGCTATTCCAATCTGGCTTTAAACCTCTCCACAGCACTGAAACTGCCCTGCTGAAGGTCTTTAACGACATCTTCAGATCCACAGATACTGGTGATTCTGTGCTGCTTGTCCTATTGGACCTCACAGCCGCCTTCAACACCATCAACCATGAGATCCTCATTGCTAGGTTAGAGCAGTGGGTGGGTGTCACAGGGTCAGCCCTCAATTGGTTCAGATCTTACCTCACTGACGGATCCTTTTGTGTCTCCATCAAGGATTTTAGTTCCACAGAGGCAGAGCTTAAATGGGGGGTTCCGCAGGGGTCCATCCTGGGTACCCTCCTATTCTCTTTATACCTGCTGCCGCTTGGTGCTATTTTCCGGAAACACAACATACCCTTCCACTTTTACGCTGATGACTGTCAAATTTACTTCCCCCTAAGACACCATGGTACATGCTCGACTCAACCGCTGCTCGACTGCCTGGATGACATCAGGGACTGGATGGCTTTAAACTTCTTAAGTTTCAATGAAAAGAAGTCTGAAGTCATGTTGTTCCCTCCCAATGACACAATCACAAACCACTGCATCGACCTCACCGCTCTAACCCATCAGAAAAACAAAGAGTCACTAATCTAGGAGTGATAATGGACCCTTCCCTGAAACTTAACAATCATGTAAACATGATTGTTAAATCATGTTTCTTCCAACTGAGGCGGCTGTCTAAACTGAAGCCCATATTGTCCAAAAATAACATGGAGACAGTAATACATGCATTCATTACATCTAGGCTTGATTACTGCAATTCACTCCTGTTTGGTATCAGTCAAACCTCCATTGCACGACTACAACTGGTCCAGAATGCATCAGCCCGATTTTTAACCAGTACAGGCAAAAGAGAGCACATTACACCAGTTTTGGCCTCACTGCACTGGTTACCGGTTCACCTTCGAATCCAGTTCAAAATACTCATGTATGTCTACAAATCACTGAAAAGTCCCCCCCCCCCCCACCCATCTCTCTGATTTGCTACAACCGTATGTCCCACCACGCTCCCTGAGGTCAGCGGACCAGTTGCTCCTCACAGTTCCAGGAACTCGTCTTAAGCGCAGAGGTGACAGGGCCTTCTCTGTAGCAGGACCAAGACTCTGGAACGAGTTACCTCTGCTTATCAGACAGGCCCCCCCATCTCGGTTTTCAAGTCCCGTTTAAAAACTCACTACTATTCAGTAGCTTTCAACACTAGATGATCTGTGTTTTGATCCTGTATGCTCCACACTGGTTTGTCGTCATTATCTGCATCGTTTTTATGTCTATATTCTGATTTACCTCATTTTGTATTTTGCTTTGTGTGTTACCTGTTGTTTTGTCTGTACAGCACTTTGGTTGGCCTTGTCGCTGTTTTAAGTGCTCTATAAATAAAGTGGTATGGTACAAAAGTCACATACACAGATCAGTGCTTCTTGTTCGGGGACCCTCACTATGTGGACTTTAATCCTCGAGTCACACTTTTTTTTTTTACTTTTTATTTTGTCTGATTTTTAGGTTTCAGGCAAAGGATGTAATTTTCCACATCCCCTTTTTATATTCTACACTTCAGTAAATATTTGCCTGCTCGCATGAACTTGAATTGCAGCTCATTTCTTGAGTGTCAGTGAGTTTTTCTTTTGACATTTTTTCTTCTGAGTTTTGTATGTGGTACAAGAAAACACAAACTGAGCTAAACTTTAATATTTAGAGCTGCCCCGTTCCTGTTTTCACTTTAAAGCCTCAGAGAGGAGCGTGAGGTTTACGGCCGGGTCTCCCCGTGTTTGCTCTGAAGTGAGGCCAGGGGTCGTCAGTGGGGTCATCTGGCTGTGTCAGCTGTAAACCTCTCCTACATGTCTAGTAAGATATGATGCTTGCTGTTCCGGATGATTCAACAGGTAAGAGCAGAATCTGGACCTCCCAGAATCAGCTAGATCAACCACAGGAGAAATTAAATTACTGGTTGATTTTTGATTCATAGTGAATATTAAAGGAGTCAGAGTTGCCAGGTTCTTCTCAAAATCTTTTCCATTAATGATTACAGTGTGCCGTTGTTCAAGGTCTTTCTTTCTAAATTTTGTTCAGGAGCACACAAATCTACTATTCTGTCATTTGAAAGTGTTTTTCAAGCTTGAATTAGTGATTTCTTAATAGTGTATCACTAAAACTGACATACTTAAAGTTTTAAACCTCAGTAGAATATAAGAAAGCATGCTTAGATACGGCGGCACAGTTGGTTAGAGCTGTTGCCTCTCCGCAAAAAGGTCGCCAGATCAAATCCTGGCTGGGGGCCTCTCTGGGTGGAGTTTGCATGTTCTCTCTGTGCATGTGTGGGTTTTCTCCGAGTACTCCTGTTTCCTCCCACAGAACAAAAACATGCATGTTAAACTGATTGGTAACTCTAAATTGTCCCTAGGTGTGAGTGAGAGAGTGCATTTGTTGGCTTGTGTGTCCCTGTTAACTTGTCACCTGTCCAGGGTGTCCCCACCTCTACACATTGACTGCTGGAAATGGGCACCAGTGCCCCAAAAAGGAAAAAGTGTGTAAGGATGGATGGGTGGATGTTTACCTAAAACCCAGTAAAATAATAAAATAAAATAAAATAAAAACTCTGAACAGTAATACTTTTTTGTTTTTGTTTAGTATTCACAGTATGCCCTTTTATGTTGTGATTTTTTTAAACGCTGACCTCATGAAAGACCAAATGGTCCGAATCTTCCCAGTGTGGGCGGAGCTTCCTCTACAGTTTAACAACCTTAAGACCGCCCATTTCTTCCATAGACACCCATTGTAGCTAGCTGCTATCCGTTAGCATTAGCAACAAGCTAGTTTTAACCCCGCGCCCGACGGGATGGAAAACAATGAGAGGTAAGCAGGTTTACAGATATTAGATTAGGCTTTTTGGGGAACGTGCGTTGTTTCTTTAAAAGCCACCCTGAACGATGAATGTGCGTTTACTTTGCAGCTACTTGCATCATTCATTCTGCCGTGTTTTCTTCTCATGCTAGGCTAACCAGCTAGCATGCTACTCTAGTTCGTCTTCTTGTGGTAGAATCTGAACAAAAGCATCAATGATGTTACGGCGTGTTATATTACCTAAAATAAGTCCCCTGGTACTAAATTCTATCTAATTTTGTTCAATGAGTTATCTTCAATTTGATGATGCATCTTCCGTTTTATTAGATGTCAATCAGAACATTTCTGTTCGTCTCATTTGTCCAAAAAATGAGTTTATGTTAAGACGAAACGTTTCAACAAGTTTTAATTTTTATTAATATTATTGTTATTATTTTAATATGTCCGGAGGACCTGACTTAACTTTGCTAGATTCTTCTACCTGGATTATTGAGTATGCATCAGGATAATGTGAGTTTATTATTGTTTTCTTGGGGCTGCATCTTCTCCCTCTGTGTGAAAGGTTTGTAAACAAAGCCGTCATTCCTAGCCTGGCTGTGGTTTGCACACCTGGGTCAGCCCGATGATTATACTGGGATTAATTGCAGATTTAAAATTTAAATAGTCTAATTACTTTGCGTGCATTTGTCCCATTTTCACTACAGAAGTTGATGAACTCTGTTATAAATGTCTCTACAAGCTTCCACTGTATGCCCACTCAGCTGTGCTACATCCCAGGGGTCTGCAACCTGCGGCTCTTTCAAGCTTTGATCAAAACTAACTTTAAACTTCATTTTATTGGTTCTTATAACAACAAAAAGAGCAAGTTTTAGCAGTTTTTCCTGTCATTTCCTTTGTGAATATGTGAATACTGCAACTAATAGAAGAAGTAAACTTTATTTATTCCAAGTAGGGTACTTAATTTTTCCACAATTAAAATAATTTACCTAGACGTGCATAGTTCATTGTTATATTTTTTATTGGGACATAACATATTATTTTTCCTTTTTTACAAGAATATTGTCTTTTTTTTGTCGTAAAATGTAAAAATATCAACAAATCATAAGATATTTTCAGCTTTACAATGGCCAGAAAACTACCCTACCCAACTACCCTACTGGTCAGAAAATTGTCCTCCAACAAACTTAAAGTGGTCTGTGGGCCACCAGTTGAGAATCACAGTTGTAGCAGGTTTTGTGGCTCTGGACACGTTTAATTTAGTGAACAAAGGGGCAGAAACGGCTGTTTTGATTGTAAAGGTTGCAGACCCCTGCTATATCCCTTTTTTACTTTAGTCTTTATTTTATGTGGATGTAATGATTTTGTATTATTGACTCATACCAACAGCTTTTCTTTACCACTAGGTAATGTGCAAATACAGTAAAACCAATCCAAAATACACAATAAAATCCTATGAAAAACACATTTAGCTCTTAAAATTACTGTTTAAACACTGCTCAGGTATGAATTTGTACATTATTTGCTACTTTGAAACAGCAAGTGTGTCCATTGATTTTCTTGTAGTTTCTGGTAGCCTTGGGGCCAACATGTTGCATTTTGCTGTAATACAGTACCGGTATATGACAGGAAATCATTGAGTTTTGTTCTGAGTTGTGACGCTCTTTAAATTCATTTTTCAGGATGGAGGTTGACGGCTGGGACTCCAGTCTGGAGGAAGAACTGGGTGTTTCCTTGGATGACCTGAAGAAGTTGATTGAAGAAGCAGTGGAGCAGAGTGAGATCGTGCAAAAGAAAAAAGCTCAGTTGAAAGACCTTAAGCAATGGGTCGAGCAGAAAGAGGAGGAGGAGGCAAAGACAGAAAGGCTTCTCAACGATGCAAACGAGTGAGGAGAATTTGTTTTTATTTGTTAGGTGTGTGAGTCTTTACAGCTGTCTGATACATGTTTTATCTCTCACTCTTCTTCAGTTCTATATTGGAGTGCGAGATGCTGGTGAGGGCAGCTTACGAAAAGAACGGACTTGTCTACCGCGAAAGCAGCTCGGAAGATGAAGGCGGCGGAACAAACAGACGGACCTCTGAAGTGATTGAGATAGACGACGATGACGACGATGATGTCATTGCTGTTGGTTGTTGTAAGTTTGTTTCGTAGAGAGATGTGCTTCAGTGCACCAAAAATATTGATGTCATTATTCATTTGGCTCTTCTGTTCTGCGCATCAGTGGTTCCTCCAAAGAAAATTTTAACTCCTTCCAAAGATCCTGGGGTGAGTTCAACTAAAAAGTTAATTTTTTCTTTTTTAGCTTCTGTGATAAATGTCCGATGACCAATTTTGTATAGTGAATTATTTTTGGTTTTGATTTTGGTATCTACAGTAATTGCATAACTGCACTACTGGGAAATAGTTCAGTTTTTTGTTGTTGTGTATTTTTTTAATATACTGGTATTGGCTTCTAAGCAGCAAGGTTTTCTTGTAATCATTAAAAGTTGTCTTCATCAAATGTTTCCAGGTTTTCTGAAGATCTGTCAGAGTTTTCCTTTTGACTTCGGCTGCTTTTTCACTCATTTTCAGCCCAGTACCTAACCAAAGGAAAAAATAACAACATAGTAATTTTCGTTCAATCAGCTACAATTGTAATAAGTGTCTGCATCATGCACCCTAGATAACATGCAAGATAAATACTTGGCACATTTAGTTACAGGCAGTATTCTTAAAACAAGTGTTTGATAGCTTTCATTTAATTTAAAAACTGTGAAACACATTAATCTGCTTCTGCTTTTTAAAATTCTGCTTCCTGTTTGTTTTTATTACCAGTTAAAAGAAGCTTCTGCAGTTTTACAGAAAACCTCCCAGCAGGTGAACAAGTTGGCCCTAATGGTGAACAAGCCTTCACCAGGAGCTCAGCTGCTCCGCTCTTCAGCGCAGCCTTCAGCTCAGTCCGGTGAGCATGTATGATGGTCTTTGTATCAAATCTTGTGTGGAAGCATCATTGATATTAATTTATTTGTTGTATCTTTCAGGGATTCAGAGTTCAGCACCAACAGTATTTGTATCACAGGCTCCATCTCAGGCCATGACCCAGCCAAATCCGAACCTAAAAGAAGATGAACTAAAAGTTGGGATGACCATTCTGGGGAAAAAACGCACCAAAACGTGGCACAGAGGCACCCTCGTTGCTATCAACACTATTGGTATGTCTTCTTCAGGTTTCTTTTGAGAGGCTGGGTTTTTCCTCAACGTACTATGTTTTGATTCTTTTTATTTTATGCAGGAAATAGTACATTTAAATATAAAGTGAGGTTTGATAAAGGCAAGAGTTTGCTGTCTGGGAACCACGTGGCTTTTGAATATAACCCGACTCTGGAGAGCCTGTTTGTCGGGGCCCGTGTTGTCGCTAAGTACAAAGATGGAAACCTAGTGTGGCTCTACGCGGGAATTGTAGCAGAGATGCCCAACAACAAGAACCGCATGAGGCGAGTCAATAAAAATCTGACGAGATGGAGAGGTGTTGATTTGTGAGGGCTCACTAATGTCCTTTCTTTGTGTTTCAGGTTTTTGATCTTTTTTGATGATGGCTATGCTTCTTATGTGATACTGCCTGAACTTTACCCAGTTTGCAGACCACGTAGGAGCCCTTTTCTAATGTCCTTTTTAAATATTAAAAACCAACTTTAGGCTGAGAGTTTAATAAAGATAGCATTTGTTTTTATAGTAAAACGTACTTGGGAAGACATAGAGGACGCATCCTGTCGAGACTTCATCGAGGAGTACATTTCCGCCTATCCCAGCAGGCCGATGGTGCTCCTGAAGGTCGGCCAGATAATCAAGACGGAGTGGGAGGGAACGTGGTGGAAGAGCCGAGTGGAGGAGGTGGACGGCAGCTTGGTCAAAATTCTCTTTTTGGTACGAACATACCAAACACTAATATCAACAACTAAAAAACTCAGATAGAAAATATTAAATGCATTTTGTGGGGGAAAATCCCCTAAAGCTTTAAAACAAAGCATAATATAAACTTTTATCTCTAACTTGACAATAGAAAGTGACAGTAATTATTGTAAAATCAAACAAAAATAGTTTGCAAATGAAACAACATTAAAATGTATTTTGGTAAAAACAAATTTGTTTATCATTACTTTGGTAATAAAACTTGATGAAGTCCAATTGATAACCAATAACCAGATGTGGCAGCTGTAATAAACCTCTCACTGTCTGCAGTATTCTTCTTGGTGAATAAATGTATTCATTAACAAGAATTTAAGATAATTTACTCCAGTATTTTTGAATTCTTTGTGTTGTTCTGTCAAGCAGGAAGACAAAAGGAGTGAATGGATTTACAGAGGATCCACCAGATTGGAGCCCATGTTTAATCTGAAAATGACTTCCGCAACCACCCATGAGAAGAAGCTGGCCGGCCACCAAAGGACAAGACCAAACATGGGTAATGCAACACGTTTATGTTGAAAAATAATCCATACAAGAGAAAAAGCAGAAGCAGACAAATTTTTGTTGGTGTCCTAATAGCTCTTTAAACTCATTACACTTTATTTATTATGAAAAGGGATTCAGCCAGAAGCAAATGGCTAATGTATATCTGCATGCCTTTAGTATTTGATAAAGTAAAAAAGATAAGATTTGTTGTTTATTTGACAAAGATATGGTACAGTATGGACAGGTGGTACCCTTAAAAGAATTATTCATTCTTGCATTATTATTATGTGTTAGTATCACAGACGCCTTCATGCTTTTTATTGCACCACACTGAACATAGACCATCAAAAACGAAGGTCTGAGGAGCTCAGAAAGAAGATTATAGGTATTCATGTTGAAGATAAAGGCTTTGAGACCTTCAACCAAGCAACTTTATGTTCCTCTGACCACAATTGTAAATATTATTAAAAATTACAAGACCTTTGGGGCTGTAGCCAACAATCCCAGTACATGCGTTCAAGCGGAAGTGCAACCTCAGGTTGATCAAACAAATAGTGAGGATGGCAGAATTAGAAACTAAGAAACCATCCAAAACCATTCAAACTGAACTCTTAAGGTCACGGTCCATCACTGTCTCATTGTACCATCTGTCTTTTTCTGAATCACATTGGGCTCTATGAAAGAAGACCCAGGAAAACTCCCCTATTGACAGAAAAACACAAAAAAAAGTCAAATTGGAATTCATGTTGAAAAGCCCCAAAGTTCCTGGGAGATTATCTTTTAAACTGAGCCAAAACTACCGTAGAAGTTTCTGGTCAGTCACATGAGCTCTTTGTTGACGGACGAGAAAAGAAAGCTGTCAAAGAAAACATCATACTTACAGTGAAACACGAAGACGGTTCTGTTTTGTTTTGGAGATGCCTAGCTGCTTCTGGCACAAGGGAATCTTGAATTTGTGCAGGGCACAATGAAATCTCAAGACTACCAAGATGTCCTGGAGCAAAAGGTTCAGTCTAGGTTGCAGGTCCAGTCTAGGTCCTTCAACAGGATAATGACCCAAAACATACAGCTACAAGCACTCGTGGATGTCTAAGAAAAAAAAAATCATTGGACTGTTTTTAAATTGCTCTTCATGAGCCCAGTTCCTAATTCTATTAAACATCTATGAATTTCTGAAAACCAGTGTTTAAACTGGAGTCGGTTTAGGCAGTGTGCTTGTGAAGACTGGGCCAAACTGTTTGTTGGAAAATGCAGACGTTTAATTGTGAAGTACAGAGATTGCTGCAAAAAGGGCTGCTACAAAATATTAATTATTAAGGTCCTGATGCATGCTCAATAATCCAGGTAGAACAATCTAGCAAGGTTAAGTCTGGTCCTCTGACTTAAGACAAGAATCTGATAAGAATCCGTCCAGAGGACCTGACTTAACCTTGTTAGATTAATTATTAAGCTCGTCTTGAGCATCCTTTTGTTCGTGTAGCTAATTTGGCTGATCTTTGCTAACGTGTGCTGATTGAGCTTCACAGAATGATAGTGTAGATTACCTTGCTGGATTTCTCAGTGAAACTGGACTGAAAACGATCGGTTATGAAAAGACAGCAAACGAGCTTTGAATTTTCATCATGACCTGACTGGCAGCATTTGGCACAGCTCACTGCTGCCTTATTGTCCCTGATGGGTTTTCCGCATCAAGAAACACTTGTTTTTTGTTGTTGGTTTTTGCAGCACCTCTGGGAAAATCACTCAGAGCTGTTTGATTTATTATTAGTTTTGTTGATGTTGCTTTCACAGCTTTATTGTTCACTGTCAGCCTAGCCTTAATTTTGGGTCACTTGGTGCAAAGTTTCACATCGGTGTGTTGGCAGGTGAAAGCAGGTTTTTAGAGAAACTGTCAGTACTTTGTCATTCTATATATTTGCTGTGGTTCTTTGCTTTTATTACTGCTGCTGAGGCCTGATTGTAAGAGTCCAAAATCTATTTCTAATGAGGTCAAGCCTCAAGTTTAAAATATGCAAATTTAGAACTACTAGAAAAAACTTTTTTGTATCAGTGAGTGGAGTCAAACTGTGGAATAATTTGAATATTGAACTTAAACAATGTCCAAACATAAAACTGTTCAAATTATCATATAAACATATGATTATTGTTGGTAATAATATATAATATTATTATTCAATTATTGTTGAGGTTTTTGTTATTTGTTATTGATGCTTTTTTTGGTGAAGTTAAAGGAATAATAATTGTTCATCTGCTATAGTTAACTTAAATAGATACTATATTGATGGGATAAATATGGAATTAGTTGTTATACTGTATGTATGGATTATACATGTAATGAATGTAAGATTATGTACGTGGTTAAGGAGTGGGAATTTTGATAAGTTTATACTTCTACCCACTCCCTTGAATATGTAAAACAAAAAGTTTTGAGGTTTTTTTTTTTTTTTTTTTTACATATTCAAAAAATAAACTAAACTAAAAACAAACAAAAAAAGCCTTAGATTCTGAAGAGAGGTTAGATTTGAAGATCTCAAGTAAACCATCAAATCACACTTTCAATATTTTTTTTGTTTGTTTGTTTTAAATTAGACACTCCCTTTAAATTTTTTTCACTGTTTTGTTTATCTCCAGGAGCATTGAGGAGTAAAGGCCCAGTAGTTCAGTACACTGGTGTTGAGCATGTTGGAGCATCTCCTGGCCAGGCGCCGCAGGCATCACCCAGTCAGCCTTCGACAGCGCCACAGTCCCAGCAGCCCCTTCAACTCCAGCAGCCTCCTGTGCCCCAGCAGCTTCCTGTGCCTCAGCAGCCTCCTGTTCCCCAGCAGCCTCCTGTGCCCCAGCAGCCCCCTCTGCCCCAGCAAACCTCTCAAACCCTGCTTATCGTTCAGCCACAGCAAACTCCTCAGCCCACTCAAACCACACATCTTCAATATATTCAGTAAGTACACTTACCATAATAAACATTGTGCAAACACCACTGATGTCACTTTGTTTAAAAGGCATACACTTTACTAAAGGGCCAAAGTATTAGTCCTATGGGTAAAAGTTTTAAACTCTTATTCAACTAAAAAATCATGAATATCTTGAAAATGCCTTTTAGCCTACTTTGGTGTCCTTTGTTATCCACTGTCACGGAGCCAAGGGAGGACAACAAATACCTTTCGGAAGAAAACTCCTCCATTTGTCCAGTTCTTCTTGTGAGCTAGATGACTTGAAAAGTACCAACTTCCATTTTGGTGCATGGCTGCATCTAAAAAAAATGTTTCCATCGAAAGTTGGGTTGCCACGTCAAAATTCTAGATGGCCACTGCCATAAATATACATACAGTATGACCGCCCAGCCTGCTGCCAGTTTTTACCTCTTTGCTTCTGTCTTTAAGGAATAAGCATCAGATGGCAAAGAAGAGCACTTCTCCATTTGTCCCTGGGGTGGGAGGAACACATGCTTCTAAAATATTGCTGTCTTCATCAAGTTCTGCCATCTTCTCAGGGTGAGTTCACAACTTTGTCCAACACTCGTTCCAAAATGTATTTGGGTCACTGTGTCATCCACGTCCACCTTCTCACTTCCTGTTCTTGCATTCAGGTTTCTGTTGCAGCTCTTGTCTTTTGCAGCTCTGTCTGAAGACCATCCATTCATTTTCTTCCGCTTATCTGGGGTCGGGTCGCGGGGGTAGCAGCTTAAGTAGGGAGGCCCAGACTTCCCTCTCCCCAGCCACTTGGGCCAACTCCTCCGGGGGAATCCTGAGATGTTCCCAGGCCAGCTGAGAAACAGTCCCTCCAGCATGTCCTGGGTCTTCCTCTGGGTCTCCTCCTGGTGGGACGTGTCCAGAACACCTCACCAGGGAGGCGTCCAGGAGGCATCCTAACCAGATGCCCGAGCCACCTCAACTGGCTCCTCGCAACGTGAAGAAGCAGCGGCTCTACTCTGAGTCCCTCCCGGATGATCGAACTTCTCACCCTATCTCTAAGGGAGAGTCCAGACACCCTGCGGAGAAAACTCATTTTGGCCGCTTGTATCCGAGATCTTGTTCTTTCAGTCACAACCCAAAGCTCATGGCCATAGACGAGGGTAGGAATGTAGATCGATCGGTAAATTGAGAGCTTCGCCTTTTGACTCAGCTCTCTCTTCACCACAACAGACCGGTACAGCGCCCGCTTCACTGCAGACGCTACACCTGTCCGCCTATCGATCTCGCGTTCCATTTTTCTCTCATTCGTGAACAAGACCCCAAGATACTTAAACTTCTCCGCTTGGGGCAGGACCTCCTCCCTGACCCGGAGAGGGCACGCTACCCTTTTCCGGCTCAAGAACATGGCCTCGGATTTGGAGGAACTGATCTTCATCCCGGCTGTGTCGCACTCGGTTGTGAACCGCTCTAGCTAAGGCTGTAGATCACGACCTGATGAAGCCAATAGGAGCACATCATCTGCAAAAAGCAGAGATGCAATCCTAAGGCCACCAAAACGGATCCCCTCAACACCTTGGCTGCGCCTAGAAATTCTGTCCATAAAAGTTATGAATAGAATCGGTGACAAAGGGCAACTTTGGCGGAGTCCAACTCTCATCGGGAACGAGCCCGACTTACTGCCGGCGATGTGGACCAGGCTCTGACACCGGTCATACAGGGACCTAACAGCCCGTATCAAAGGGCCCGGTACCCCATACTCCCAGAGTACCTCCACAGGGTTCCTCAAGGGACGCGGTCGAACGCCTTCTCCAAGTCCACAAAGCACATGTAAACTGGTTGGGCAACTCCCACGCACCCTACAGGACCTGCTGAGAGTGTAGAGCTGGTCCAGTGTTCCACGACCAGGACGAAAACTGCACTGCTCTTCCTGACCAAGTCTCTGGAACGAGTTACCTCTGCTTGTCAGACAGGCCCCCTCCCTCTCGGTTTTCAAGTCCCGTTTAAAAACTCACTACTATTCAATAGCTTTCAACATAAGATGATCTGTGTTTTGATCCTGTATGCTCCACACTGGTTTGTCGTCATTATCTGCATCGTTTTTTGTCTATATTCTGATTTACCTCATTTTGTATTTTGCTTTGTGTTACCTGTTGTTTTGTCTGTACAGCACTTTGGTTGGCCTTGTTGCTGTTTTAAGTGCTTTATAAATAAAGTGGTATGGTATGGTATGAATCCCAGGTTCGACTATCTGACGGACCCTCCTCTCCAGAACTCCCAAATAGACCTTACCAGGGAGGCTTAAGAGCGTGATCCCCCTCTAGTTGGAACACACTCTACGGTCCCCCTTTTGGAATAGGGGGACCTTCACCCCGGTCTGCCAATCCAGGGGAACTTCCCCCAATGTCCACACAATATTGCAGAGTCATGTAAGCCAACACAACCCCACAACATCCAGAGCTTTAAGGAACTCCGGGCGAATCTCATCCACCCCTGGGGCCCTGCCACTGAGGAGCTTTTTAACCACCTTGGTGACCTCAGCACCAGAGATTGGAGGGCCCGACCCAGAGTCCCCAGGCTCCGCTTCCTCAGTGGAAGACGTGCCGGTGGTACTGAGGAGGTCTTCAAAGTATTCCGCCCAATGACCCACGGCATCCCGAGTTGAGGCCAGCAGCACACCACCTCCACTATAAACAGTGTTGGTGGTGTACCGCTTCCCCCCCGAGACGCCGGATGGTGGACCAGAATCGCCTCAAAGCTGTGCGGAAGTCATTCTCCATGGCCTCTCCGAACTCCTACCATGCCCGAGTTTTTGCCTCAGCGACCATCCGAGTCGCGTGTCGCTTGGACTGCCGGTACCCATCAGCTGCTTCCAGGGTCCCACAGGCCAAAAAGGCCTGATAGGACTCCTTCTTCAGCCTGACATCATCCCTCACCGCCGGTGTCCACCACCAGGTTCGAAGGTTGCCGCCGCGACACGCATCAACAACCTTGCGACCGCAGCTCCGGTAAGCCACCTCGACAATAGAGGCACGGAACATGGCCCACTCGGACTCAATGTCCCCTACCTCCCCCGGAACATGTTCGAAGTTCTCCTGGAGGTGGGAGTTAAAGCTCCGTCTCACAGGAGACTCTGCCAGACGTTCCCAGCAAACCCTCACAATACGTTTGGGCCTGCCAGGTCTGACCAGCATCCTCCCCCACCATCGGCGCCAACTCACCACCAGGTAGTGATCAGTGGACAGCTCCGCCCCTCTCTTGTCTGAAGACCTTGGAGAGTAATTCATGGCACAATAAATAAAGTTCACTGGGTGTCCTAATAGTGTTTTAAAATATAGTTTGAATGTTACATGAACATTTCCACAATATATTTCATATAAATGTGCTTTTTATAGTAGGCTCTAATTTTTTTTAGTTTGAAAGAAAACTTGGTTTAATAGATTTAGAAACGTAAGTTTTGATTTGTAGTTAAAAAAAAAAAAAAACTTTGTCCCCTGCTGATAAACTTCTACTTCTAATTTATTTCAAATGCAAACTCCAGGGAAATTTTAAGCTCTATATAATCAGAAAACTACGGTCGTGTTATTATTTTATATTTTCCACAGCATTCCTGTTTTTAAAATGGAGACTACATGACTTATTGATTCTGTCTGCTACTGGTGAAGCTAATAGAATAGCTCTTTCCAGTTTACAAGAGAAAATGGTCATGTTGTTTTTTTTGTCTTTAATTCACAGTGGAAAAATATTGATTACTACAACTGCTCCCACATCCTCCTCCACGCCTTCGTACCAGAGACAGCAACCCACTGTGATTGCTCCCCATCCCCCTGTGACACATGCAATGGTCACCATTCCCCAACATCCCTCCTACAGAGCCCCAACGGACAGAATCTTCTACCTGGCACACACATGTCAGCCTACATGTCTGAACCGCGTTCGACCAGTCAAACAAGACATGCACCTAGGAAAGAACCCCCTCCTCACTCCTCTGCTGTATGATTTCAGACGCATGACGAGTCGACGCAAAGTCAACCGCAAAGTAAACATAAACCGCAACACCACACAGGACCATAAAACGTTAAAATATATTACCTGCCTAATTAAATTTGTGTTTTAATAACCTTTTCCCTTCATGTCCTCTCCTCAGGTTTCTTTCCATGTGACCTACAAGGCTCCATGCGGACTTTGCCTTCGCAACATGTCAGAGATACAGAATTACCTCTTCCAGTCTCGCTGTGACTTTATATTCTTAGAGATGTTCTGTCTAGACCCCTATGTGCTCGTGGATCGACCCTTCCAGCCACAAAGACCCTTCTATTACATTCCAGACATCACCAGTGGAAAGGAGGACATCGCTCTCTCCTGTGTCAACGAGATTGATACCACCCCACCTCCTAAAGTAGCCTACAGTAAGATCTACATTGATTTGCTTTGGGTTTGTCCAGAGATGAGCCTGCACGGTTGTTCACGTTCACATTTTAGATCAAGTTGGATCATGGAAATATAAATGGGAACAATTTTTACAGTTAATTTATGCCGAAAACTATATTAATCCTAAACAGCGTTAAGGGCTCAGTTGGTAGAGCTGCCGCCTCTCAGCGAGAAGGTCGCCGGCTCGAATCCCTGTCGAGGACCTTTCTGGGTGGAGTTTGCATGTTCTCTCTGTGCATGCGTGGGTTTTCTCCGGGTACTCCGGTTTCCTCCCACAGACCAAAAACATGCATGTTAGGCTGATTGGTAACTCTAAATTGTCCCTAGGTGTGAGTGAGTGAGTGAGAGTGGAGACCTGTCCAGGGTGTCTCACCTCCTCTGGGCACCAGTAACCCATGTGACCTGGAAAGATAAAACAGGTAAAGTTAATGGATGGATGGATTAAACAGCATCAAAAATGTCTCAGCTTGTAAATAATATATGTTTTTTATTTTATTTGGATCTCAGAGATGGTTTTCTTTGTGGCAGCACCAACAACCTAATTATTCAGAACAGCTGATTAGTTTAGGTGAATTATCACTTATTGCTCACAAACTGTTTTAGTCTACCAGTGCACTTATTAAACCTTGAGAAGTACAAAACATTTGAGAAGTCGTTCACAAACTTTATACTCAAAGGTTCAAATCAGATTTCAAACAAGCGGTTCTCTGATGTCCCCCATCACTGAAAGATTTGAATAGTGAATGTTTGTAGTTTTCGAGATGAGTGTTCTGAAGTGGAATTTAACGGACAATGCATTAATGTTTTGGTGCAAGATATTCAAGCTGGTAGGAGCTGAACTGTGTATAAGAACAGAAGTCATTTTATTATGCATTTATGTTCTGGGGTGGTGCAGAGTGACGGATGCTGGTGAGCGCAGGGAGTAACTGCAATTTTATCCACCACCAGGTTCAATGGCAGAACTAAGGGGGTGGCCATTGGTGGCCTTGGCCACCATAGATTAATTTTCAGCAACTGCACTACAATCATTTGAGGAAACTATACTTTTCAGCAATATAAAAACTAGAAAGCATAGTTTCCTCAAATGATGGGGGTGGTCAGTTTATGGCCCATTGCTTATTTTTCAAGTTATCCAGCTCACAAGGTTTACAAATTATGGTGGCAGCCATCTTGGATTTTGACCTGGCAATGCAATTTTTGAAAGGAACCTTTCTTACACGTAGATGCACCCACACACCAAAAAGGAAGTCAGTACCTCACTTATTTTTCACGTTATCACGCTCACAACACATGCACATGCACAGACGGACAGACTATTTAACTCTATTCATTACTCTGTCACATCAAAATGATTGAGGTAAAAGTACACATGACCATTAAATCTTTGCACTACAGATGTTGTCAGGCAGCGTAACTGATTTAAATCTTCCTTTGTCAAGCAACTGTGATGTGAGTGTTTTCTTTATTTTTTTTCATTTACCCTTTATTTATACAGGTAGTCTCATAGTAGTTTTAACTCGTTTATTGCTGATAATGCACTCAGAGATGTGCTGAGGGCAAAATAAATGCATTTTTCTACAACTACTAAAACTCAGTTTTCCAAGCCCACATTTCTTTGTTGCACATTTGGATAAGTTTATGGTGACCTGACCTTAGACCTTACTCTCTGCCGCATTCGTTTCTGATAATGACACAGATGAGACTAAAGCTGCAACCAGCTTTGCAGTTAGGAAAACAAACTCAGCTTGTGACTTGAAGAGACATAGCATTTAGTGTCGTTACTGTAGCCTAAACTGTATATTTACTGCTAGAAATTCAACCGTTTACAGGTAATTTTCCTCAGTTGTTCTCTGGTTCTCACACGTGGCATACCTGTGCTCTCTCTCTCTGTCTCAGTAAACATTGCTTCATTGCGTCGTACAAATGCATTTCAGTGAAACCAATGAAACATTTGAGCTGGGTTCAGATTGGCACTCCAATTTGATCTGGTTCAGACAAGCGTCTGGACTTTGAGAATGGCTGCAAAAGAGCATGTGGCCACTCAGAGACTGACAGATCCTCTTCTCTCTTCAAGGTAAAGAGCGTATTCCTGAAGATGGCGTATTTATTAACACCAGTGCAGATTACCTGGTTGGGTGTGATTGCACAGACGGCTGTCAAGACAAGTTAGTGCAGCTGCTCCTTCGTACAGCTTCATTTTTACTTTTTATTTTTCATTTGTTAGCCATAGCTAATCTCCTGAAGATGTGTCATGAGATCTTAGTATCTTCTTGTCTTAATTACAGGTCCAAATGTTTCTGCCACCAGCTGACCCTGCAGGCTACAGCTTGTACACCCGGAGGACAGGTCAACACTAACGCAGGATATTTGTACAAACGATTAGAGGAGTGCTTGCCAACAGGGTCAGCATCTTTTACTTGTTTTAAAAAGGCTAACATTCTCATGTTCTATAGACTTATTAACTCTTATCTTGTCATTCCCTTGTTCTTTCTGGTTCTCTCTCAGGATCTACGAGTGTAATAAAAGGTGCAAATGTTGTGTTCAGATGTGCACCAACCGGCTGGTGCAGCACGGCCTGCAGGTCCGCCTTCAGCTCTTTAAGACTCAGAACAAAGGCTGGGGCATCCGGTGTCTGGATGATATCGCTAAGGGCTCTTTTGTCTGCATTTATGCTGGTGAGAAACACACATTAAAAAAAGATGGTGGAAGTCAGACTCATGCAGACATCTTTATTAACAATTTTGTGTTTTCTCTTTCTTTTCTGCCACTTTAAAAGGTAAAATCTTGACTGATGACTTCGCTGACAAAGAAGGTCTAGAGATGGGTGATGAGTATTTTGCTAACCTGGACCACATAGAGAGTGTGGAGAACTTCAAGGAAGGCTACGAGAGCGAGGCTCACTGCTCAGACAGCGAGGGAAGCGGAGTGGATGTGTCCAGGATAAAAATCCAACCGTCTGCTTTAGTTTCGGGCACCAATGCGGGACGACATCCCAAAAAGGGTGAGCTGAACACTGTGAGGTTCTCTGCTGTGTTTGTCCTCGAGATAGAAGCTGACATTTTCATCCTGTTTTTTTTATTTTTTTTTTAATGAATTTTTCTTTGTCCCACAGTCAAAAGCTCGAGCTCTTCAAACCGCAGCAACGATGAAAAAGACTCGAAGAGTGACGAAAGCGACAGTTCAGACGACACGTTTGTGAAGGACAACTATTTCAACTCCAGTTCTGTGTGGAGGAGTTACACCACACGAGGTCAAGTCAAGGGCACCAAGGAAGGTAAACAACTTGTACGACTTACAGACGATTGTTCGAAGTTAACGGTTTATTTTGCTTAAAGATCACTTTTACTCCACTTCTAACTTCACATCTTCCCATCACCAGCCAAGCAATAATCCACCGTCCCATTACAAACTTGTTCAGTTTCCTTTAAAAGACAGTCAGTTCCTCTGTTATTGTGTAAGCTTATAGCTGAATTAGGGTGATTTCTGTGCTGTTTGTTCATACTACTTTCCCTCCTGCTTCAGGAAGTCAAGACAGTAAAGATGGAATGAGTGTTTCTGGAGGAGCAGCTGGTGAAAAGTCCCTGTCGATCCCAGAAGAGACGGGGAAAAGCAAAGTGGCTTCCTGGCTAACAAGCCAGGGGCTCAAGAAGGTGAGTAATAAAAAAAGAGCCAACGGATAAAGCAACAAGAACACATAGACTGAGGTTTTATTTTAAATGTAGGCCACGCAGAACATTTAGGTACATTACTGAGAAATAATGATGTAACGTATTTTTCGGACTATAAGGTGCACCGGCGCATTAAGCAAAACAAAATAGTCATACAAGTCAAACTTTATTCAACTCATTCACAATAACCACATAAAATCGGTTCGAGGTCAGTAAGCACAACCAGAATTAATACTTATGGGTCACTGTTGATAGTTGAAAAAAATTAAAGGATTTTAAGTGTGCCTTATAGTCTGAAAAATACGGTAATCCTTCATTTATCTTGGAAATACTTAATTACTTTTTAATCGAATAAACTGTAACGATTACTGTGATTTTTGCTTTATGACTGTAAAAATACGTAATTCTGTTCATTACTTTCCATGACAGGACTCTGAAGATAAGAAGTGTGTTGGAATTCCTCAAAATACACCAGTGTGGGTGTTTCTCAAATTTTAAACATTTGTCTCTGAAAACTGTAAGTCTGGATTAATGTCTAAGGACTGATTTAATATCTTTAATTATGCAGTCAAACGAAGAAGCAGGATGTGATGACTCTCTCTGACAGCGATGATGTCCAGACCATCAGCTCAGGATCTGAGGACAACAAGGAACGAGACAAACCCGCTCCAGGTAAACGTAAAAAGAAGTCGTCCCTGGTGATGATCCACATTTCCTGATTATTTACACTTTATTTCTCTCCTGAAGTTTCTGGCCCCACTGTGACCAAAAAGCAGGTGGCGGTGAAATCCACCCGAGGCATCGCCCTGAAGAACAGCCACAGCATGATGGTGAAGACAGGAACACCTGGAGGGGGGGCGGGACCGAGCAGCCAGGGGGCCAAACATGGACAGCAGGGGCAGCCTGGAGGAGGGGGAGAAAACGCTCCCAGGAACACTCGCCTGTTCTACGACGGCGAAGAATCCTGCTACATCATCGATGCCAAGCTGGAGGGAAACCTTGGGCGGTACCTCAACGTAAGATGTTAATCCCGTTCTGTGTTGCGTGAAAAACGTTTTATTTTGTCCTTCTCGGGTCATGATCTGTCGTTCTGTTTGTGTTACAGCACAGCTGCAGTCCTAACCTCTTTGTCCAGAACGTGTTTGTGGACACGCATGACCTGCGATTCCCCTGGGTGGCGTTCTTTGCCAGCAAGTAGGTTCAGTCGTTAAATATTTCAGTCAACCCTCTCCTATGAAAAAAGATAATTGTTTAGGTCCCCCCCTTCGGCCTCTGCACATTTGGATAAGTCCTTGGTGACCCTAGAGGGGCGGGCCCTCCTTACAGTTTATTTAAGTTCTTCACATACAAGAATGATCAGTGTTTATGACGTTTGTGTTTGTTTTTGTTACTCGCACCAAAGTCAGTATTTGTGTGAGAAAATCGAACGTTTATTTCCTGTTTTTATTAGAAAGGAGTTTGCTTTCAACAGATCAGGACATCTGTTGTTTAAACCAAGGGTTCTCAAACTTTTGGGGTTCAGGGACCCCTTACAGGGAAGAAGACCCCTCATAACTCTAATGTTTATAAAATAATTTTCTTTAATTTGTCTCTTTAATGCAAATGAGGGGACCCAAGTTTGAGAACTACTGATTTAAACGTCACATTTCTTTAGTCCCAGAAACCCATACATAAAATTTCATAAATTATATATATTTATTAAACCAAGATACAAACTTCCTATCTTTTTTTTTTTTTTTGG